TATATAAAATTGTAAAGGTAATTCGATCTAAACGACGAAATAATCAAAGAACGAACGTTTAAAACTCGAGAAATGCTTGAATTTTGTTTTTAGTACACTATGGAATGAAAGCAGCGAAAGCGATTAACAAACTAATGGATAGGAATATTTCTAGTTTAAATAAGTTTTTAATAAAATGGCTCAAATCCGGGCGACGCATCACATTTCAACTAGAAACGGTGTCACCGAATGGCGAAAACAAAGGTTAGAATGGCCCAGTGGGGCGTTCCTCAGTGGGAATATTGAGGAATTCGAAACGACGAAACTACGCTCAACAAAAGCGTAGAAATATATCCTTTAGAAATCCGGATTCATGCTGGTGATTCATCTGTGCTTTTATCACCGAGTGGTTCTGTTTTTTTTTGGTCCAACAAGCCAGTGGAGCGGGCCAAATCAGCAATGTTGAAGCGCAATAGTGAGAAAAAATCCCACGAATAGTCCTCAGCACTGAATTTCATTTTTAACGTTTATTTTCAAGCGAATCGGACAATTCGATTTTAATAAAAGCAATCGTATTTAAAAAAAAAAAGACGATGAAATATCAATTAAAATTAAAAATAGATTTGTAAAATTTCTTATTCGCTATTTTCTCGAACATTGAAATTCGAAAAAACAGTGCAATAGAGCTAAAAATTTGCCCACTTCACTAGTAAAAATTTACCCAACTTTTTCAATAAAATTTTTCATCATCGAATTAACCAAATTTAACACCACGCGTATGAATAAATAAAATAAATGCAAAATGTGGTGCAACAACAAAGGAGGATGGGCAACGACGGGCAAAAACCAGCTTCCCATGCCGGGAATCGAACCCGGGCCGCGTGGGTGAAAGCCACGAATCCTAGCCACTAGACCACATGGGAGCACGGAACAATTCTCAGTTAAAGCACTCACGAACATGGCGAAAACATTTTTTCATGAAACATTTTAACAAAGAGAAAATGGCAAAATTTCGGTGGAAAAACACGGAAAAATAACAATCGAACAAAAAAATAAATAAAGCAAATCGCTTTTCCTAAATATTTTACTTTATATTTTCTTTTTTTATTCGATTATTTTTTTCATTTTTTTAATTTTTTATTGTTTTTTTTTAGGGAATTTAATTCATTTTAATTTAAATTACAACGAAAGGAAATGATAAATCTTAAATTTGACAGATTCGATAACGAAAGCAAATGTTAATTAAACGATTTGCAACGAACAATTTGAACTTTCATGTTCTTAAATCTTGGCAAAATCTCAAAGAAAAGGTGCAAAATCTTTATCGGTGATTCATTTGGACAATTTGAGGTGAGTATTCAGCTCCACTCGGTGACTACAGTTTTACTAATTCCTCCACTCGATAACTATAGTTTTGCTAATTCCTCCACTCGATAATTATAGTTTTGTTAATTCCTCCACTCGATAACTATAGTTTTGCTAATTCCTCCACTCGATAACTATAGTTTTATTAATTCCTCCACCCGATGACTACATTTTTACCAATTCCTCCACTCGATGACTACAGTTTTGTAAAATTTGCAATGAATAATGGCGAAATTCGTTGTGCTATTAGCTAAAATGAAGCATCCATGCGAAGATGGAGTCGCTCCGGCACACATACTTTGATCGATGCTAATTAACTGCGCAGCTGCTTAATGGTTCTCCTCAATTTGTTACCAATTTCCATCATTTTTGACATTAATCGACCTTCCCATTCGAGATTTTTCATCGTTTAGAATTTAATTGGACCATCGAATTTGCAGAGAAAGAATATTTAATAATAATCGCTTTTAGCAAATTATTGTTTCCATTTAATTGTTATTGCCCGAAATATTTGCAAGAAAAATCATTGCAGAATTTCTCGAACAAATGAATTTTGCAAGTTTAATTTTTAAATTAAATTTAAAATTTATAAGATTTTACAAAAAAAATTTTTGCAGAAAAACGAGGAATGGTGGCCGCTTTCCTGGTTGACGTTGCCGTTGACGTTGTCTCTGCAACGAATGAGCTTTAACGGCATTTAAGTGGACACAAAATGGTGCAAATGGTGCAAAATGAGGAAAAAAAATGATTGCTTCTTGCGATAATTTTAAAAATACAATTAGCAAAAAAATTAGCGGAAATTTGATATTAGCGGAAATGGTATTTTTTTGCAAATTATTCTAAATTATTAAAATTTTATTCTATTTTTTTACAATTCCTATAATAAATGCGATTTCAGTTAATTTGTAATTAGAATGGCAGTGAGTGGTCACGCAGTGATTCGGAGCACCAATGCGCAGCTCCTACAGACTCCCTATCTGCTCAAAAACCTGGGCGGCTCATCTGTATTTCTATCGTCAAGGGACTCCCTGGCATATTTGTCCAGTGCGACAAGTCAGCGGAACGAGTTTAGACAGTAATGGTGAGGACTCTTAAAGAAAAACGTATAATATGAGGTGAGTTTTTACACGAAATTTCCACTTCAAAATTTTCGCTGAAAAAAAATTATTCCATTGTTCCTCTATGCCATGGAGATTTACTCAAGAAAATTTAAAAAATTGCTCCTCAAATTCCAAAATGTTTTTAAATTTGCGAACTTTTTGCAATGTTTTACTTATGTTTTGCTGATTATTTATTTTTTTTCTGATATTTGCCATAATTTCACTGACCGACTAAATTAAGGATCGTTCCGAACGCATTATCACCTATACATAATTTATATATATATACGATGAATATTAACATCAGCCTCGGGCAAAATGCAATAGTACCTTAGTAGTGTAAATCGTTAGAGCTGCGACTCGACCTGAGGGAACAGAGATGTTGCTAACGGACTACGGTAAGAGATCGCAATGCATGGCAGATGAAGGAAAAATATACCAGAGATAAGCGAGTCGCACAATCAGTTTTTTATCAGAGAAAACAAGTTTTTTGGCGATATCGAACAATCATTAGATAATTAACAAATAACTGCGAAAAAAAACGTTAGTTAATCGGTGGAAGCAGTTAAAGGAGGAATTCAGTGAAAACAAGGAAGGGAGTTCGCAATCCGAACGAACAACAAACACCATCGTCGTTTTATATTTCGCGTTGATTGATAGATTCCTTCGTTTTTCACCGATCTAAAATATTTTTTCATTGCACTTTTTATTTTACTTTTCAATTTGCTAAGAAACTACAATTTCTTTCAAAAGAGGATTTTCAAGAATTTTAAAATTAAAATAATAATTAAAATAATAATAAAATAATTAAAATAATATTTTTTAATATTTTAATAATTTCAAATTAGATTTTAAAATAATAATAAAATCGAATATAAAACTATAAAGTAATTATCGAAACTATAAAAAATTAAAAAAGTATTTTCAAAAAAATTTTTAATTCATTTAATTTATGGTGTTTATTTAATAAATAAATAATATAAATAATAAACAATTAAATTAAATAATTAAATAAATAAAATAAATAACTTATTTAATTAATTAATTTAATCTTTTAATTTTCTTCAACGAATAAAAAAAATTTCAAACAATATTTATATTTACTTTTCGAAGGCTTATTCCACGATATTTTCAATCGGATAAAACCAATTTTTGATCGATCGATTATTATCATTGATCGCCAATCACAAAAAATAATAAATCAAATCGATCCTTGCACAATGACATTCCTAATAATTGTTAACTACAACTTACAGTCACCTTAATTCCCCATCATTGTGAGAACCTTTTCTGCGCACATCCCGCAGAGAATCACTCGGGATACACCAGAAGCTCAGGTAGCTACCATTGTCGGCATGACAGATTCTCGCCCATCAAAGGGTAGGGCAGTGCGAACCACTTGAAATCTGATAAACTAAACGGCTGAAACGGCTAATTTTTGATGCGTTCAAAAGGAAGAGAATCACGCAATCTATTCTTCCGGCAAACAAGAAAAAAATTCGAAAAAAAATAAAAATAATCGATTAAATAAATAAAATAAAAATTAGGGAAATAAGATTCTAGAAAATTAAATAAATAATCATTTAAATATTTTACAAAATTTCAATCGATAAACTCATAAAAATTCATAACGGCCATCTGTTAAATGTTTTGAATAATGCATCCGTCAATAAAATAATTCGACATTAAAACAGTTTAACAAATGTGACGGAAAAATAATTCGAAGAAGCTGAGAGAAATAATAATGAAAATCCCGAGAAATGCAACTTCACCATAATACAATTTTTTGAGAACAATTTTATCGTTGGAAGTCAAAAAATTTTCAACTTCACATTGGCATTTTCATAGCAAAAAAAGAAAATGAGCTCGTAACATAGTGAAGATTTCATCAGCATCGCCCAATTTATCCAATTTCTATTAGTGATGGATCCATATTCTATTAGTGATGGATCCATATGATTAGGTCAAACTCGCTGGTTGTTCACTCGATTAGCAGCAACAACAAATTAGTAAGCATATAAGGCCTTTTGATTCACTTGCAGAAAATCTAAGAATATTTATTTATAAGAAAGGAAAATTTTTTAAAGTTTGTATCTTAACTCCACGCTATTATTTATTTAAAGGCATATTTTCACCTATCAACAATGATGAATAAGGCACATTGGCAAAATATAAATAAAGAACGCATGAGAAATATAAAAAATACAAAAAAAGAAAAATAATACTCAAAATAAAAAATTCCTTGTACATTCTTCACGTACAGAAAAAAATATTCTTAAAGTAGCCGCAGTACAAAATGAAATAAGTGAAAATAGAGTTGAAAATATAATATAAGAACTAGAAAATTCAACAAAACTACTGATGATAAATAAATAAATAAAATCAAATTAACTGGATCAAAAAATAAAAATCAAAAATTTCGTAAGTTATATCCTATAATAAATACCATTCCATTGAAAAAGAACGTATATGAAATCTTTATTTCAGCGACCAAACCTCTTACTGATTGGAGAAATTAAGGAAACACTGAATACGAATTTCGTTCCGTGGCAATGGTCACTGTGGATATGCCTCAATAAGCATTCCAACTCCATGTCCTCCTGAAGCACAAGCAGCAATCAAACCAAATTGCCCTACAAATAGCATATATCATCACTCATAAAAACATTTTTTCTAGGGAAGATACATAGATAAATAAAAAACCACGAATATATTATATTAAATTCAAGAATATATTAAATAAGTGCTTATTAAGAAATATCTTACCATTTTCATGTCTGAGACGATTGGCCGTATGTGATGCAAGACGTATTCCAGTTGCACCAAACGGATGACCTATAGACAAACTACCACCCCATAGGTTTAATTTTTCAATTGGAATCGATCCATACTTGCTTGAACGCTTCATCACCTCCTAAAATTTTTTTTCTTCATCATGCTTCCTCATCACGTTTTTTCTCACTTAATATCATCGCCAGATAATCGCCAAAACTGTTTTGAAATTTGAAGCTATTTTAATTTTCATTGAAATTCGATTGAAATTTTGATAAAATTTGATTTTATTGATTTTGATATCTCGACACTTAAAAACGCAGTGAGATGTATTTCTTTTATAGTTTATTAATTATTTTATGAAATAATCGATTTTTAAATAAATTTCCACCTTGCAAAAGTATTCTGAATCCAGAGCTTTTAAATTCGCTAAAATTTGTCCTGCAAAAGCCTCGTGTATCTCAAAAACATCGATGTCCTTTAATGTCAACCCACACTAAATAAAAAATGAATTAGTATAAAAAACCGATGCTCCAAAGTAGCAAAATAATTTCAACTTACTTTATCTAATAACTTAGGTATAACATAAGCTGGTGAAAGAAGAAGCTGATCTTTTGGATCCTGCGCCACATACAGAAAATCACGCAGATAAGCTTTTGGTTTGTAACCATTCTTTAATGCATAATCCTCAGTCATAATAAGAGCTGCCGATGCGCCATCAGTTAAAAATGATGCATTACCTAGAAAGCTGGAAATTTTTTTTAAAAAATTTGCTGATTATTTTTTAAATTCGACAAGGGAACAATAAAACTTTTAGCAAATGAGATTAATAAAATTCATTTCAATTCAAAAACCAACCAATTTTGTGAGAATCAAATTAATATGGGGACATAAACACAAAAATGAAATAAAATGAAAAAACCTGCAGTGACGGTTCCATGGGGTTTTACGAATGCTGGTTTCATGCTCGCAAGTTTCTCCATAGAAGTATTCCTTATGCCATTATCGAATTTAATAATTTGAGGTTTTTTACCGGGAACAAAAACAGGTATTATATCATTAAGCAAGCCATCATCTTGTGCTTTTTGTGCAAGTGAATGTGAACGAAAAGCAAATTCATCTTGCTCGCTAAAGTTTGAAATTATTAAATTTGAAATTATTAAATTTGAACTAATCTTTAATCTAACAAATTTTATATTGAAGTTCCACAACAAATATAAAAATAAATTTGTTTTTTCAATACAAGATATGAATAATAAATGGTAAAAAAATGATATATAAACTAACACTCGCGTAACTCCAAAAGCTGCAGCAAGCCTATCACCACTATGACCCATTGTTTCACCTGATGTATATTCACTCACAGCAGGCAACTCTGGTGAAAAAAAATTTAAGAATATATCTTTTCCAATCAATAACTGGGCATCAAGTCTTTTCGCTTTTCCAAAAGCTAACATCGCAGCACGAGCCTGAATATAAGCATTAGAAAAATATCTATTAGATTGACTTTTATATCACAATTCAAGTTTTTTCATTCGTCAAAATAACTGTGGTATATGGTGCGTAAAATATTTAAGACGATTTTAAGCAAAGCCCAATGATATAAGATCCTGACTCTAACCTTTCGATTGTATCGTATAGGAACATCGGAAAGATATTCAACACCTCCTGCAATACCAACTTGGCAATACCCAGTTGCCAACATTCCCATTATATCGGTTATAGCAACGTTTGAGGAAATACATGCCAGCGTTACTGTATGTGCAGGAATCTAAAATAAGAAAATTAAATTAATTTGCAAAATTGTAAACTGCAACAAAAAAAATTATGACACTTAAAAAACTCTGTCGGTCAAATATTCAAGTTTTTATATATGCAAATCTTTTCGAAAAATTATATAATTAAATTTTTTTACGTATTAATATTGATAATATAATATAATATTGGAAATACTTAGATTCTTATCACATATTCCGACTGAAAATATTTCAATCATTAGGATTTCAATTTTAATAAAAAGATTTAAAAGATTTTTCAAGAATTTGAACTGTAAATCCAGCGATTTAACTTTTGCCGCCGAATAAATGCTTTAATCTCATTAAAAAATTAGGAATAAATTAGGAAAAATTAGGAATAAATTAGAAAAAAAATTAGGATTAGAAAAATTAGGAATAATTAGAAAATTAGGACTGAAATAAATAAAAAAAATAAGAAATAATCATATTTAGAGAAAAAAATCAAAATTAAAACTCACAGAATTTGGAAATCCAGCAGTTAATGAAGCTTCTCGAGCGATATTACTCGTTTTGCATTCTTGAATAACTGTTCCACAAACGATATGACCAACTTCGGTCAGTGGAATTTTTGTCTTATCAACAAGTCCTGTTAGTGACAGAAAATGAATATCAAAAAACAAGTCATTTAATATTTTCATATCGAAAGCTATAGAAGCTATAGAAGCTATAAAAATCAAAATAAATGTAAAAAATTGGAAAGTTTTTTCGTCCACATACCACGCCCTATTTTCCTATTTTAAAATATAAAATACCTATTTTCAATTTATTACAGTCCTGTCAGGATTTGAATATGTTGGATCCACTCTCACACTAAATAGCCCGAAAGCAAAGTTACAGTTAAAGTTATAAGTGTAGCTGCTACAAAATCGTCTAATCGAAAAATCGACGATTGATAATTAATCCGATTTGTGAAGCGAAATAAAATAATTGAAAAATGTCTTTAAAAGTATCATATGAAATTTTTCAAAAACTATGGAAAATTTGCTCAATAAATTTTTTTATTTCAACCACTACTGTTGAAAAAAAAAATAATTGAAGGAAAAGAAAGAAGAAAATGAAAAGTGAGAAAATTAACCAAGCAAAGCGAATCGTAACAAATCGTTGGCAATCATATTTTTGAAGACACTCGAAGATTGTACAAAAGGTGTCCGTACTGCATCAATTAAAACAATATTTGTTCCACCTGGTTTATTTAACGCGTTCTTCGTCGATTTATTTGGTATCGAAGTAATCGTTGGATTAATTTGCGTTGTTGATGTTTTCAGTGTCGTAGATGCATTGCGAACCGTTTGGAAAAGCTGTTTGAAACGATTTACTGTGAAATCTTTTGCGAATAAACCGTGCATCATTAACCTGAAAAATTTTCTACGGCACTTTTTAGTATGTTCCGTCCTACGCACTTCTCATCTTTCTTCTCTTTTTTGTCTCCTAACCTTGTTTTCTCAACAATTAATCGAGGAATCGTTACTGTTCACGTAGCTGAAATGTTATTACAAGGCTAAATTTTTATTCTTATGACTTTATATTAGCTAATATGATAACTTTGCTCCAAAACTAAATCAAAATTAGAAACCTTTTCCCTGAAACCTTAAAACATTCTGGAGCTACTCTAAAAAAACATTTTAAGCATAATTTTGCTTACTTAGTAATCCTTCATGACTTCATCAGTAAGGACGAGATATTATTAAAAATAATATTAAGCACAACCACTTGCTAGTTACCAAGCCAAATCCAAAAAAAATGGTCCAATCATTCAAACAAAAGATATTTTAAAAACATTTTAATCATAATCACAATCATAACTTGCATTAGAAAAATTCCAAATATTCATAAGTACCTTTTTTTTGCCCTTTCAATTTCATAAATTTCTCCTAATAAATTTACCTTATCAGTTTGTTTTAGTCTGCTGATTAGTTATGCTCATCATCCCCTTTTATACCTACTATATGGCAAGAAATTCTTAGTATTAGTGAAGCACCATCCAGATTTTTTAGTCTCAGGTTTATACCTACCACAGAATCAAACCTCAAAACACAAACCACATCAAACTACAAAATGAAGGAGCCAAACTACTCAACTATCCTATCCTGTAAGCAATCATAAAATTTTATCAATCGTCAATAGACATAAATAAAATTTTTGAATTAAAGCAAAGGTTTTTTATTATTGAAAATATATTAAAAAATTTTATTTTATTTATTAAAATATATCAATATTAATCAAATTAAAAAAATAATGCGGAAGACGACAATGAATAAGTAGAACTGAAAAATGTTACATTCCGGATTGTGAGATCAAATGGAAGGCAATGTAACTATTATCACCATTTAATTATTAACAAAAATAAGTATAGCGCCATATTCTTCGTCATCCATATTAGGAATTGACGTAAATCCTCCTATCGAACCTTACTATGGATGATTTCAAAAATCCAGCAGTTCAGACAAGATATGCAGCAATATAGTAAAATTTCGAGAGAATAAAGAAATCACTACAAAAATCACACAGTGATAGGGAATGATTTTAAATTTCTAAATGCAAGAAAATTAAACAACTTAACTAAAAAAAAATACAACAGGAAATTATAATTCTAACGAAATTAATAAAATAACCCGCAACTCTAATGAGAAATTACAAATGAAATTCACATAAGTCGAAGAGAAAAACAAAAAATGTCTGATGAAGAACTATCAAAAAATTGGAATAATGCATATTAAAAGATATTTTGCGTACATTATATATGTTAACAAAATCATTAGAAACTTTTTCATATAATTTTCATTTTCAAAAGTTCTTAATTAAACAAAACTAAGTTCTTAAGTAGATAAAAAAGAAAAGAAAAAAAAAGAATAATATAAACAAAATCTCTATTTGAAAAGGTTGCATAAAAGCAGTAAATTCAAGAAAATGCGTCTCTCTTTCTCGTTTCATCATTTCCTAAAATTTCCAAAAAGTTAAAAAAACTAGGAAAAACAGAATTTTTTTTGCAAAAAATCTGAAAAAAACGCTAGAGAAATGAGATAAATCGATAAAAGAAACGATAAAATATACTTTGCTAAATAAATGAAAATATATCCATTCGTTGCAGAATCCCGAAGCACTTTTTCAACTGTGGTCCTCGATATATTCTCATCATCGCAGTGGAGCCAAGTGCACTTCTTCGCATTCCAGAGATCACAAACATAATGACCTCAAATAAAAAACTCCAAATTTTGAAAAATATGTTCAATAATTAATTAATTAAGTATTAATTAATATTTAATTAAACATTAAGCAAGCTAATAAATAAAAATTAAATAAAATAAATTATAATAGATATTAAATATATTACTTGAACAAAGACCAAGTAAAGCATACACAAATCTGAATTCATAACATCAGAAAACAAGATTAGGAGAACGGCAAGACATAGGAACCAAAAATATAAAATTATTTCATGTCAACACAAAAACCTTTACACTTTATCATATCTTATTGACACAAAAGTAAATACAATAATATAATAATAAAATAAAGTAATACAATGTTATTCGACAACAATATTTAATTATTATTCATTTTAAAATTATGAAGCACAGATCACATCATAAGGTAATTCCAGAAATTAATAGTACAAGTGAAAATTTCTTAAATAAATAATTAATCCTGGAGATAGGCATTAATAATTTTTCATCGCGGCATAGAAAATAGGTTAATACGTTAATAATAAATTTCTTATAGGTTAATATTAAATTTTGCTTAATCAATAATATTCCACCATAATATAAAGATCATTAATACTATTGCCTATAACAAAAATCTTCATTCAATACCTTCATTTAATGAGTGACCACGATGACTGATTATTGACATAAGACGATACTTTTTCGAGCAATCCTTTTGCTATAATTTTTTATTATAATAAAATAAGCCATATTTAGCATATTATTTTTATTCTATTCTATTCAATATGATATTTTCCATTGCTTTCAGCTAATAAAAGATATAAATATCAAAAAATAATAAGAATGATCAGTTATAATTGTTACTTGCTAGTAATTCAGTGGTAACCAGTGATCACTTCTGGTTAAGCTCTGATACTACTGATTTTTAAAAACTTAAAAGTGAGAAACTTATACTGGGAAATTGCTTGAACCAGAAATGTCCGACATTTCCCACCTAATTCACTTTTGATAGCGAGTTTACTAACAATGCTTCAAAGAGTAGCGGTGAAACCATGCTATTTGAAATGTTAATCTAAGCAGTAAACCTCGTTTGCACTATCCCTATTTACAATTATACCTTTTAAAATTCTGAAAAAAGGACTTGACGCACCGATATACTTAGAATAGGACTATAATGGAAATTTTCATTGAGCAAAAATATGCGTTCCCTCACACCATATTCATAAGAATTGATTTTGATATCTAAAAGCAAAGCAATCTATGAAAATAGCAAAAAATAGCAATGGTGAAAGTAATTGTAATTGTGGATCATCGATTTCACATCGAAAATAGAATGTGATGGATCACATATGATGATAAAAAAGATAAAGATTGAGCAAATTTACCGTGAATATTTTTATCCGTATCAAACTGAAATCTAGGCCGATATAAGACCCATTTACCATTTAGAAACGTCCAAATTTCAGCATTCAACATTGAAGCAGCTGCATGTAACTCGATATCAGTGCCCCACTCACCATTACGAGACATTTTTGAAAGGTGGACTTTCCAATCGACATCATTCATCCCAGTCATTAACTGGAACCTTTCACAATGAACTTTTTCAAATTCGACAATCTGAAAATAGCACTAAAGAAGTCAAGAATCAATGTGAATGAAAAAATGAATTCACCGAAGTAATACTGTAAATAAATTAAAAGTATATTTTATTATATAAGTATATATAATATTATTATTATATAAGTATATATTATATAAGTATATATTTATTATATAAGTATATATTTTATTATATAAGTATATATAATAAAATATTAAAAATAAAAGGATAATTTACTTTAGCTCGTACTACTGAATATTCTTGATCATTTCCTCCCGAAATATAATATGCAAGCGACCGAAACAAACAATTTCCATCAGCTGATATTTCTGCAACCCGAAATGGGCAATGAGGATGGTAGACTTTTCGCAAAGAGACTCTGGAAGAATAATACCGGTTCCACTATATACTAATTCAACTTAAATAAGGTAGATAAACAGAAGGAAAATGACAAAAATTTTTTCGAAAATTACTTTCCAAATAATTATATAAAAAATAATTATTTGAGGTACTTTCCAAAAATAAAAATATAAGCAACTTTTCTAAAACCTTTAAAAAAAGTCGCTTGTTAAAGAAGCAATCAAAAGTCAGAACAAAAAACAAAAACAAAAATCAAAAAAAGATAAACTTACGAAATGCCATATTCGGGACTCTTGTCTTTACATCTTTTAATTCCTAAAATGGAACATGCTTCACGACAAAAATGGTTGCTAGGTGCTTTGAATAATAACTTTGAATTGTCAATCGTTTCCTGCCAATTAAATAAATTTTGCCAAAAAAATCGTAAAAACAGATAGATATAGATATGTCTTAAACTTAAATTCATTAAATTCGAGAGCCACAATGATTATTCATTTTTAGCAGCAACTACTAGAAATTTATTTACAGTCACTGATATATTAAAAAATATATATTCGAACCGGAGTATTCGAAAAACTTGTGGAAGAAATTATTGATGAATCATCTTCAAGATGATATTTCTGCTGTGGAGAATGAAGAGAATCACCGTTGATCAGCAAATCATTACCACACTTATCATTATTATCAATATAAAGCTGAGGCGCCACTATAAAATAACTAAATAAATTATCCAATATTATCGACAATTAGTGTATTAATGAGAAAAACCTGAATCAATTTTTTTTTCTCGTTCGAACTTTCCTTTTAATTTAGTTAGATCAACGTTTTCAATTTTTTGAATTGGTATTGCCGCATTACTAATGATTTCCGAATCATATGTAATCTTTGCTATATCACCATCAAACTGCTTTGCCTGAAAAAAAAAAAATCAAAATTTAAACTAAGTGATTGAGAGAAAAATTTCATAAAAAGATTTAAATTTGTTTAAAGCAATGTTTAACATACCGCCATTCCTTAAAAATGATATGATTTTTTAAATAGAAGCCCACCTTATGATTAAAATCGTTATCTTCAGCAATTATTGGCGAATTTTCGAAACTACTGTTGTTTTCCATATGATTTGATGGTGTTTCCAACACTACAGACGGATCAGATTTTTGGCTCGGTGAATTTTCAGATATGTCTTTGGATGCAATTTCACTATCCAACCGAGTACAGCATACATCAATTATCCTAATTCGCTGAGCAATGTTAATTCGCAGACTAGGCTCGACAATATCACCGCGTTTGATCTTTTCGAAAGTAGTAGCTCTGTACTCATACCTTTTCAACATCAATATAAGACAACTGCAATAATAATTGATGACTTTTCGATTTTCTTTAATTTTCGAAAAAATTTCAATTCTTTAATATTTAAAATACTTCACCAAATCCATAATGATGAGTGATATAATGAAGCAAGACTGCATATCAAGAAACCCTAAATAATATATTTCTCATACTCTATTTCTCATTCCACAGAATATATCCTTGAAAAATGAAAAATAATTTTAAAAAACTATCTAAGATATATGAAAAAATAGAAAAATAAATTACATACGGTGGCAATTTTACGAAATGGTGTGACATTATTGCTGTCTGTGAATTACAGTTCGCACAACGATATTCAATACGTTCTGGCATAAAATAAGAATCTAATAAAGACTGCAAAGAGATTGGCGATGGAATAAAATCGAATTCAGCATTCCTAAAAAGGAGCGAAATATTTAAATATTTAAATATAAAAAAATGGAATTACTCATAAATATCTTTTCTATTATTTAGAAAACTACAAGAAATTTTCTGTTCGTTTACAGCTGAACTCTTTTATTTTTTTCCATTAGAATATTTCAACTATAAAAATTATGAATAAAAAATATACTCCATTGATGGCAATTGGAGTAGTATATCAATTCCTTCTTCTTTCTGATTGATTTTTGTACCACAACTAAAACATAAAAGATGAATAATGTTTTAATGAATAAAAAAGTTGTTTAAAAAAAAAAATAGCTGAATATGTAACTTTAAATCAAAAAATTACCCATCACATATAATGCAATGCCTCAATACAGAACCAAAAATAGAAGCAACAGGGTTAGAGGAAATAATTTTACTGAAACTGAGTTCTTCAAATTCTTCTTTGATTTGATTAAACAGATAAACAAGAAATTCTTGTGCATCCTAAAATGAAAAATAAAATTTATCGATCAACGATATTCAAGTAATTTGAAATTTTTTTGAAATTAAAAAATAATTTGTCACAAACTGCAATAATTTGGAATTATTTTAAACTGATTTAGAAAGCGAATTCAAATTTACTTCTTGAAGGCATTTAGAAAATCGTTTATTATTAATTGCATTTCTAATATTCTCAAGCAAAATCCTTCTTTGTTGTCGAGATACCTCATAACGTTGTGCACAGAAAGTTGATAAGGCGCTAAAAATTTTCGAACGATTAGCTTCTTTCGACCATAACATATTTCAATATTACAACGTCACCCAACAATTTAATCTATTGGAATTGCCAAAAATTTGAAAAACTGAAAAGACCTACCTGATTACTGAGGTTTCATATGAATTAACGAAATTATTGATTGGACATAGATCATATATGTCCAACAGAGAATCAGAGAAAAGATCGATATGTAAAACTGCTTGTAATATAGCGTTCATGTAACACGAATTCCCGAGATTCTCCAGACTAAACTGACGCAGGACCATATAAGAAATGTATTGAATAAATCAAAACTATTTTTTAAAGAGAACTCACTACTTTTAGTAAGACTCACTCCATTGGTTTATCATATTAAATTTTGCCAGGGAGATACTTAGTAATAGATGTGAGTCGCCAGCACCATCCGAATTTCTAAAAGACATGTTTAGCACTGCGATGAGCAAAATCCCAGTATCAGCGCTTCGAAATGAGAGCAAAAAATCATTGAGCAATTCTACCTCAACCAAAATTAACTATTTCTATTTCTATCGGCAAATTATTTCTTCAGAAAATGAAACCAACTAAACCTTAATTCAAAAAAAAAAAAAATTCAATAATTAAAAGCAGTATTTCTTAATTTACCCTTGAAATGGCGGTTGTATTGGGTTTGCAAGAATATTCGAAGAATCTTGATCACATGGTTTTTTTAACATTTTATCATCATATTTGATTTCTTGCTTCATGACATGAAATGGCACTTGGTTACACGATTTAGCCTTTATGGTTGCGAGTGACATTTTATCACCATTTTCGATACCTTTCTTCATGACATTAAATGTGCTGATTGGTGAAATAGGTTCTGATGAATCTCTTGACAAAAACCTTCAAAAAAATCTTTTCCGTTTGAAAAAATTATTATACAAAAAAAACAACTGAAAACAGAACAGTGGAACAAATTCTGTATAAAAATTACTTCGGAATTTTATCACCTCTGACATCGTCAATTTTTTGCTTTTTTTCAGGAGGCTGCAAACTTTTAATATCCTTGAATGAAGCCAATAACTTTTCAATCATTTGCTTCCTGTAAGGAAATACGTGATATTCTTCAATATTTTTCTTGAAGCAACCAAAATAAAATTTTAATTTTATTAACTTTAAACTAGATCCAGTATTTTGAACATTTTGAACAGTTGGAGCTGCGTTTTTCACGGATGATGTTACAGTTCTCTGAACACTGCCATATCCATTTATTTCAAACCCGCTGGGCAGCAACGCTGAAGCGAGACAACAATTATTTGCCTCTGTTATTTTCATAAAACATTCAAATAAAAGGAAATTTTAAATAATTAAAATTCATAATGCACCTTGGCTTGTATCTGGAATGGCATCGATTATTTTGCTCGAATGAGTGGGCGATCGCTTTTGTCCCGAACTATTATGCATTCTACATTTTAAGCGTATTTTAATAAATGTTCAGTTTTATTCAATATTATACTGTTTAAAAGTTAGATCAATGTAACTGTATTAATTATGAATAAATTTAAATTTATAAATTTAAAAAAATCAATGTAATATCAATGTAACTGTATTAACTATATATCAATGTAACTGTATTAATTATGAATAAACTTAAATTTATAAATTTAAATTTAATTTAAATTTATAAATTTAAAGTAAAACTTTAATTAACAAATAAAATCATAAAATCAGTTTTTTCTACAAATGGTTTTTTATAAATTCTTTTGTCTCTATTGCGTAAATACAGAAACAACAAAAGTATAAAAATCAAAATGCTAACGATCTATCAAAAGCTTGTTCGTAAGCCGATTTTTGTTCGAAATTCGGGAGCGATTTTGCAACAATTTTTCGCCCATTAAATGAATTCCCAACCTCTCTATTCTGAGTAATAGCAGTTTCTGATGCAAATTTCGATTCATTTAAGGGTTTCTCCACAGCTAAAAATCGAACAATGATTTCGAAAGCTTTAAATTTTTTTAAATCGATAATTTTAAATAAAATACAATAAAATACTAAAAATACAAAAGTTTTAAAGAAAAAAAGAAAAAAAAAGAAAAGAAAAAATACTTATATACTTAAAAAAATGAAATGAAACAAAAAACAAGGGTTTATATGCAAAAATAAATAAAAATAAAAGATTAAGATTTAAAAGATTTATACTTTCAACAAACAATGGAGAAAGTGCATCATAGATTGCACTAACATCATTCACAGCCAAAGGTTTAATATACAGCCGTTCACGAATATGTTTATGATCGATATCTTGCACTGCATCAAATATTAATGTATCTAGGTTCTCGTGCGACTGTGAAGACGATATCTTGACAAGGGACAAATATGCCTATAATATTATGAATACAAAATGTACAATATTTAAGTATTTAAATATATTTATATATAAATATAAAATAAAGATCACGAAAGAGAATGCTTCGTATGAAATACTAGGAAATTTTAAAAAAATCATAAAAAATAAAAACATTAGAAAATACTCGGATAAGTCGTTTATGATTTTTTATTATAAGAAACACTTTGAGTAATTTTTCTGCATCGTCCTTCGACAGTTCAATACAGCCTTTACGGAATGGTTGAATATCATTATTTGCTTTACATATTTTAATCTGAAAATAATAACAATGCAAAATATATATAAATATAAACAGAATTAAAGCCGAAAAGCCGAAATATTAATCAAATTAAATTAAATTGGTATAGACTAAAGATTCGATATTTTGGTTAATAAAAAAATTAATATAAAAAGAGATGAATAAAAAAGAAAAACGATAGAATGGGAGTGTGAATTCTGCTAGTGATAAAAAAGAGAATTTTATATGGAAAACTCGAAGCGTTTCAACTTCAATTTTCAAAATCTATTGGTCCTAAGTAGTTATACGCTTATTCTACCAAAAAAATGAAAAAAATTTACCAAAACAAACCAATCCATCATTTCAATCGTTTAAATATCTCCAAAAACTGTCGCAGATACCCTTAAAATCTATGTAGCTAAAACAATATTAGCAAAAAAAAAGAAAAGAAAAAATTTGGTTATTTAACATCGAATTTTTTTAATGGTAAATTACCTTCACTCATTTCACAATTACCAAATTTTAATATTAAATTTCAAATTCAATAAAATTCCATGTATTATAAACGTATTTACGTCTCAATCAAATATGAAGTCTACAAATAGGATTTATTGATCAAAATTAAAATCGCAAAAAAAATATATAAAAAAAAATTACATATACTAAATTTGTTGAATTTTAAAATGCAAATTTATAAAATAAAAATATTTTTGGGATGAAAAAATCACTTCTTCCGTTCATATACCCATTTATATACTGGTGCTTTCATTAACTCGCCACGTGACACCTGCAATTTTAGGAAATCCGAATTTGATAATGCGAACACTATAAAATATAAAATATGAGAAATAGAAAACGGAAAGTACAGAATTTCAAACATAGATTCAAACATAGAAAAAATACTGAAAACAAATAAAAGAAAAAAAAAAGAATTATAAAGAGAAATTAAGCATAACCTTCTTTGGCTTAAGTGGACCAGAATTACCAGAAATATTTTTTCGTGTTTCTAGTTTTTCAATTACAATTTTCAACTCTTTTGCGCGCTGCATTCTCTTGATTAGCTCTTTATATAAAAGTTTTCGCTCTTTTTCAGCTTCCTAAATTAGCAAAATTTAAATAAAACCAATAAATTAAAAAAAAAAGGAATGAACCTACTTATCAATATTTCAAAATGTATTTAAAATTATTTAAATATATAAATATAAAATCAAAAAAAAAATTTTTTTGACGAATATCTTTCTATTTTATTTTAAAAAGGTTTTGAAATTAAATGGGCCACACTCCCAACAGTCGCACTCCAAAAGTATTAACCTCAACTTCACAACGTGATTTTACATTAACGAATTCTTTTTTCAAGACAGATAAACGAGGACGATTGAAAGTTCGATCAATCAATTCTTCCGTAGTATCAAAATATTGAACAGGATCAAAACTTTTAACTGAAACAAATCCAAATATAAAGTGAAAAAAAAACGGTAAAATATATTCCATTCATCAAATGAATATATTATCATAAAATCTGATGACAGAGATAACCGAGTGGTTTGGTTTCTCCCATACGTGTTAAGCCTAATTTGTTAGATTCTTTGTTTAAACGCCATTAAAAAAACGAATTGCAGTGCTGCTGGTGATCCAACTTCTACTCCCAAAGGACTCCTTGACAAAAAATTTCTAACCATAATGCGCGAAATTAGCTTAAGCAAATTATAAGGATTGACTGTTATTCTTTGCTCGAACAAAAATGATTTTGGAGAATTGGAGAATAAAACTTTTAATTTTAGAAAATTTTAAAACAAACTTTCATCGTCATCAACAAATATTGTATGCGTATTCTGACTAGCTGTTGTCATATCAGCAAAGTGTAAAATTGATTTAAGCTTTTCAATTTTCTGCAAAAGACTAGGGTGATTTCTACTTCAAACTTGCCTAAAACTTATATTATTATCATTTAAGACATTAAATCAAACATTAAAAAAATGGAAGATAAACGAAATATAAAAAAAGATTTTTTCACATAATAATTAAATGCATTAAATAGCCACATAATGAGAAATATTTCCCAGCAAGATTTAAAAAAACCACCTTATTTTCGATATTTAACTTATATTTCACATATTTAAAATTATTTAAATCAGCCAATTTTTTCTGTAAAAGAGTATCCTCATCAGCTTCTGAATTAAATTCTCGATGTGAACCATCGTTCTAAAATTAAAATTTATTTCAGAAAAATAAAAGTTAGAATAAACTAAAAAATCTCAGCCAGTGACCATTAAAAATTGAAAATTCTTGAAATTACGAAATTATCCTTTAAAAACTAAGAAAAATGACAAATAATACCGCTATGCGGCTTCGGATCATATGAAAATGAAATTCATCAGGATTTCGATCCAAGGCTCTCTGACGAAGCTTAAGCAATTTTGCTTTCTTTCTATTGTAATCATTAGCACGCTTCTTATAATCCTTTTTCCTTTCCAAATGTCCAAGGTGAGCTCGCGATTCAGGCTAAATATTGATGTTTCAATTTCAAGGGATTTCACTTTCAAATACAAGTCAAAACAACAAAAAAATGATTTGAATAATTTAAAAGATTTACTTTGTTGAATATCTGAACTAATATCGTTTTTCTTAACGGAATTAACAGATAATATTCTTATTACTTTAAGAAATGAATTGTCAAATAAAAAATATTGCACTATTAAAGAAAAGAATTCCATTCTTACTTGAGGTCGCTCTCTATGCAATCGTTGCCCACATTTTGCAGCGCGCTTCAACGAAGACATAATCTACTGAATTACGGAAATGAACCACGATTATCTATTAATTTGCGAAAACAAAACGAGATCAAGCAATTTCAAATCACAAATAAAATTATAAAATTAAATTAAATAAAAATTATAGATTAGATTATACTAAGTTTAAACATGAATTTAATGAAAATTTCAGTGAAATAATATATGAAATAACTTTAAACACTAATTCCTTAAGATTTACAAATTTAGATGAATAAAGATGAATAAAGATTTTAGATGAATAAAGATAAATATAGAACCAACTTGTATTTGAACTTAAGAGAATATATGATAAATTTTATTATGTAATTTATAAATTTATATTTACAAATTGAAAAAGGTTGTGAAGGGCAAAAAGAAAATTGAAAATTTTCGATTTTTTGCATATTCAGTACATTTTTGCATTTAAAAAACCTTTTAAGGAATAAAAAAAGTTAAAAAGGAGATCAACGATGAACAACAGGAGTTTGAACTTTAACAAAAGTTGCTGAAGGCGAAAAATATGTTGTGGAAGATGAGCCAGTTCGTTCTTGTTTTAAAGTTGGATTCACGATCTCTAAACCTTGAACAGGAGTAAATGTAACACTTGATGTTGTTCCAGCTGTATTTCGCGAGCGAACTGATGTTACACCTCCCATCGCACGTTGTCGTTCCATCGATTTTTGCAACTTCTGTGACATTCTGCAAATAAATATTGAAAAGAAAGGAGTTTATTTTCACCTAATGAAATTGCTGTATCACTATAGATTTATGGAGAATGGGAAAAAAAGGATCACTTTGCTCTAGTTTTCGGATCGACAACTGCAGTTCTGATACGACCACCAGAGATTCCACCACTTATTGCTTGTCCTAGTGAAAATCCCACATTATTTTGTATAACGTCTTCAGCCAATTCACCAAAATTCATACGATTTGCTTTCTTACGCAATTCGGATTTTCCTAGCCGTTCTTTCATTTTTCGTACACGCCGACCACCTCGTTTTTTGCTTGACTAAATATTAAGTATGAAAAAAGATAACTAGATAACTTTTCTTTGATCAGCTAAAAAAAAAGTGCAGAAGAAAATTATGGCAGTACTCTGATTCAAAAATTATTTTAAAAATATGCAAATACTTTGTCCAATGGTTTTGGTAATGGTTTCGCTATTTTGACTGGCGGAGGTTCTAGCATCTTTTCGATCTTCTGTTTTATTTGTTCAAATAGATTTTTACCAGCACTACCATCTATATATTCATGAAGTGAATCAATACGAGCTGCTAAGGTAGTTTTTGTGGCCAGTAACCGAGCAGTTTTCTGTCTAAATTTGAGTTAGATGAAAAAAAATATGTGATAGAGATTTTTATAAATATTAAAAGTATCACGTAGGTGCAAATTTTCAAAAAATTGCATTAAATAAAAAATCCTAAATTTTCAGAGAAATACTGAAACCAATAAATCAATAAAATTTAAATGAAATGAAAGATAAAAGACCTAAAATCTGGTGGTACGCCTTGGACGATTGGATGGAAAAATAAAATTCCAGCATGAGGAAGAATAGCGGTTGTGCTGAAACCACTTAAGGTTTTTTTCTGCGCGCCTAGCACGTAAAGATTGCAAGCAGGAAGACGAGCTAATGGAGCTAAGCCTGCAATAAAAAATTTTGAATGATAAATAATAATAAATTTCTCATAATACTAATAAATCAACAGTTTGTCGAGTTTTACAGCATTTTTTCATTTTTCCAAACTTCAGTCATTAATCAAGATCTCATTTGGTAAATGGTACCTCCAGCTTTCGCAACGATCATGGCCGCTGTTCCAGCACCGAGAATCTCGCAGAGATTGGGAGCTATGAGTGTCATTCTTGATTCTACGAGGCGGTACATATTTAAGCGATCAGTATGCAGCTTTTCAGCTAAATCGCATGCCTCTTGAACCGCTTTCAATTCATTTGCGTCCAATGCCTTACCTTGAGTGGTAGAAGCTGTCACACTAACAACGATGCACGTTGCTGGTGCCAAGATTTCGCTAAATATAACAAAGACTTCAAAATGGAATGAAAATTAGAAACAATGAAAACCCCAATTACAATTAATGAAAAGGCCTTATAAAAAGTGGAGGTCGAACTAAAAATTCAGAGAGGAAAATGTAAAAATATTATAAGCAGTACAAAAGCCCCAGAAATGATTTAAATTACTTTCATAGCAAGAAAAGTTTCTCCATCTTTTATGGCAAAAAAAACTCCAGAAATGTTTTAATTTATTAATTTCATGGAAAAAAGCCTCAAAAATAATATCTGTGACAAGAAAAACCTCTGAAATATTTTAACCTTGAAATTTGGTTTTTATAATTTTTCAGTTTTTTTCTTTTTCTGTTCCTCTGATGTTAAAAATATAAAAATATAAACCTTAAGATTTGTTTGTTTTGCCCTTTCGTTGAAATATCATTCCCAAGCAATTTCACTGTAGCCAAATATTCCAATGCATTGGGAACAAGTGATTCAAGTTCAGGAAAGCGTTTTTCATATTTATCTCGAACAAATTTGTGGATAACATTCAATTCTTGATCAATATCAGCCGCCAACTAAAACAAGAATGTAACCTAATAAAAAAATTTGCGAAATTGCAAAATGCGAACAAAAAATCACAGAATTCAATGAAAAAAGCATCGTCGACACATTCATTATTGGTTGAGTTTTAATTCAACGGATTATTTTTACGATTTAAAAATTCATCCCAGTTTCCAAAGTCAAATTTCTGTTAAAAATAATCACCTTTTTCACAATCTATTCACAAAAAATTGTACCAGTATTAGATATCAATAAAGAGGGCAATACCTCTTCAATTCCCTTTTTTAATAGCACTCACTATTTCTGCTTTGGCAGATTTCACTGATTATTCGGATGAGACTCTAGGAATCATTTAGAGGTGGAAATACAAGTGAATTTCTAAGAACCACCGACCCATTAAAGGACAGAAAAGGCTATGACTTGGCCTTAGTTAGAACAAAAATCATAACAACATCGAACATCTTGAACAATATTACATTTAAAAAGGTAATTTACAATAAAACAGTATAAAATAACTACAAAAGGACAACTAACACTTGATAGCTGAACAATCAACTTATACTGTGGATCAGCTTCCAATGGCTTACTTACGGGAGGAATTTCTTCCAAATTAAGTTGTTCCTCCATTTTTGCTATCAAATCCTTATAACTGAAAATAATTCACCAGTAATCAATCAGTTATAAACAGCAAAAAATCGTTGACGTTAAAAATTTCAAAAAAAATTTTTTTATTAAGAATATTGCGGTTTAGTAGTGGAAAGTCATAAAGATCTTAAAATTTTACAACAGTCAAATTCTTTGTTATAGTCATTAACATATAATACGCGAATAAGTTGATTCGATAAAAAAGCTACTAGTGATTTCCCAAATATGAATCGCTTATTCCAACACAAATTTCATGAATAAATTCCACAGTGTGAATTAAAAATTAATGAGCGTATAATCTTACAGTTTATTCAACTCAAATAAACTAATAACTATATATGAAGTGTAACAACGACTTTAGCAAACTATTAACCCATACTGTAGCGAACTAGTTTATCGCAAAAAAAAACTTTAATTAACTGACAATTTTTAATTAACTGATTAACTAACAATATTAAATAGATTTATGATATGACAAAATTGTTTACATTAATTTTTTTGGTATTAGAAAATAAACTTTTGAGTTGAAGCTAATTTAGCGACTGCATCGACTCGATCATAAATATTCATATTTGGGAATTGTTCACCAACTTCCTCCAGTTGTCCCTCGAGATTTTCTTGCTCATTTGCTTCGATAATTCCTTCGTCTTCATCCAAATCCGCCAATAATTCATCGGCTAACGACATTTTCTTTTATCTTCAACTTTTTATGAAAATTTTTTCAGAATTCTTCATTTATTCATATTTTCAAGTATTAAAGAATTTAAAAATTATATGCAATTTAAAATCAAATTTAATTTTGGAAAGTTTCGGAGAATTAAAAAAAAGAAATAAAATAAAACAATTATAAATATTTAATCAAAAATTTAGCTTTCTTCTATGGGAATTAATATTTATAATTATTTATCAGACTTTAACCTTAAAGATCGCTTCATAACTTATAAATATTCTAAAAGAATTATCACAAATTATAAGGAAAGAGACCCCTCTCCAAAGAAAATACTCCATAACATCAATCATATAAAGCGAAAAACATTTTAAATTCGAATAAAAGTACAGAATACAGAAAGTCGTTTTAGGATTGCTAAGTCTCTAGATTCATCGCGCATACACTGAAATTATTTGGTTTTTGTTGGAAATTTTGGAAACTTTTGGTTAAAATAATACTGAAAATGAATGATAATGAGCAATTATCTATCACACATATCACTCTATAAAATTATTAAAATAATCGCTGTTCGGATTAATTTTGTGCTACTTATAGTACATTTGTATTTTGTGTCTCAAATGGATTGCAAGCATTCAGTATTCTTTTGCCAAAATTTGTTTAAATGAAAACTTTTTATTTGGTGTTATGTTTCTTTTTTTCATTCAGTGGGAGTTTGGGTCATTTTATTGTTGACGAGATGGGAGGCTAGCTGGGAACCAAAGAACACCACGTGCATTGGGCAGCTATCGAATGTCTCACATTGTTTCTTCCGTCTTACCTAGAACAGGATCGTGGTCGGTCGTTCATTAAATAGCAAATCGTAGGGCGATAGGCGATGTCTTGAATTTTATTTCTATTTTGTGCATGAATTTTCTTTAATAACTATAAATTCCGGCAAGAAATCGTAGAAATTGCGTTGAATTTTCTGATTAAAAGAATTTTCTGAATTAAATTTTAAAGATGGTAGGAAAAACAACGACAAGACGAATAACTCCTATAATTGATTTTGGTGAGGAACTTCTTGAGCATCCACAGTCATCAACATTTACAGCCAATACGTTTGTGTTTTCTTTTTTTAAAATTTTACCAAGAAAAATTCACGATAATATTTTTTAAATTTTATGGTTGTTTATTATTTCTTTTTCTGCTGGGAAAAGAAAAACACGAACTTCTTTGAGAATTTGCTAAAAGCTAAGGATTTCCTTGAGAAATTATGGTGAGATCTATGGACTACTTTTTAATCATTTTTCAGTGATCCGGATTCGCAGATGTCTGATTCATTATCGTTGTCAGCAACGGATCACGATTTAGCGAATGAATTTACTGAGATAGATAATCTGATTCGTCGCTATATTGATACCTGTCAATTCAAATTAGCAATTTTGTGGGCCGATAAACGTCTTGCCCTTTGTAGAAAAGGTGGTAGACCTCCTTCTTTTTTTGATATGGCCAAGTATGTAAAGGTATTTTTTAAATTAGCCCTTCGTAAAAACTTGATACATTTTGAAATATTGTTCATTAAAATGTGAGATAGAAATGGTTGATAAAATTAAAAAAATGAAAATAAAATAAATCGAATAAAAATGAAAATAAAAGTGAAATAAATTAAAGTTGATAAAGTTGGAAAAAAAACGATTGAGCTAGTTCAGTATTATTTCTAATTTTTTGGATAGTTTTGAAATATTTATCTTTTTCTTTTCAAGATATTATCAAATGCTACTGATTGGACGCGAGTTATTGCATTTTGTGAACGAAATGATCTCTTTATGAAACATCTTGTTTTTGCCTATTATTATATAAATGCTTTATTCAAGCGAAAGTTATACTTCGAAATATTAAAATTGAAATTGGGAAATTTGGTAATTTTTCAATTTTACATATCTCTCTTGTTCTTTTTTTGAATTTTTTTTTAATCAGTTCGAAATTATATTAATATTTATTTTATAAGAAATTGCCTTATTATGTGGTTTATGAATATTTGAACTTCAAATTATACATTCATATTTTAGCGATTTAAATAATTGATACTTAGGAAGGATTTCGCGATCCTGTAAATGTTACTACGCCTTACATGGCTCATTTATATAAAGTTAAAGGATTTCTGCCAAGTCAGGAAGAAATTGATATGTTGAATAAGATTGCAGCTGATTCAAATGTATTGGTTTTTTTTTCATTTTCTTATACATTGAATACAATTTAATCTAATTCAGATATATCGGTTTTTTCATTTTCCTTCTTTTTTATCTGATTTGGATTCTGCTATGATAAAACAATTATTTAAGCTGGAAGCATGCATATTAATTCTTATTGGCAAAACATACCTTATGACTCAAAATCGACATAATGCTCAGCTCTATCTTCGTAGTGCTTTTACAAAAGAACCAACGGCAATAGAAGCATTGGATATTATAAAAAAATACAATTTAATTCCAAAGCGTCAAATTGATGAATTAATTGAAAAGTATTAAGGATTTCATTGAAATTTTTTGGTTTTAATGATAATGAATATCCATTTTTTATGTTTTTAAATTCATTAATAACTTCTTATCAACATTTTTTTCTTATAAAAAAGTTTTTTTTTTCGAGGTCTATTGCAAATTCGAGGGTTCAAAATATTCTACGCCATAATCACATTCTCATTCGTCACTGTGAAGTAAGTTATTACTATAATTTATTAATTGATAGTTGATTAAGTTATCGTAAATATTGAATATTGCTAGTATTTGAAATGTGATGAATCTTCCTATCTCTAATTTTTTGGCTCTAATGATTTATATTTATAAAGATTTTTAAAGATTTTTTTCAAATGCCTTTTCAATAAATCGAATTACTTTAATACAGAAGCCAACATTTAAAATGGATGCAAATAGTGATCCTCTTCTTGCTGATTTATCCATTCGGACAACATGGGCAACCAATTTATACAACAGAGGCGATATAATTGGTGCAAACAAAATAACCACTGAAATTTTAGAAGAAACTGGTTTTTTTCAAGTCGCAACTTATATTATTTTGTTTTTTTTTCATATTTACTTTCATTTTTTTATTATGCAAAATTATATTTGTTTTAGTATAGATATTAAATCAAGGATTATTAAGAAAATGTCATTTTGGTCATTTGAGTCCATATTCCTATTATTCTTTGTTCATCTCTATAATTGGTAATAGTCTTAGATTTAGAATTGCTAGTAAAACTGAAGATGATTTTATTTTTTTTCTAATGATATTTGAATTATGCCGAAATTGCTAGTAAAACTGAAGATGATTTTATTTTTTTTCTAATGATATTTGAATTATGCCGAACTATTGTCTCATAATATTTGAGGATTTAAGGATTGTATTCTTGTTCACATCGCAACTCTTGTGCAGTTGCATAAGTGTGATCAATTGTTTATGCTTGCACATCAATTGGTTGATAGCGAACCAGATAGTGAAATAAGTTGGTACACAGTAGGATGTTATTATTATGCTGCTAATCAGCCTCGTGCTGCGAAAAGTTTTCTAAGTATGGGATGATTTCTTTTCGATTAGTTATCTTTTTTTTAATTCTCTTCTCTTTTTTTTCCTATTGGGAATCAATTTATTATCTATTTTTAGATAAATGCACAATAATGAATCCATTGTTTGGAGAAGGTTGGATTGCATTTGGACATGTACTTACAGCAGAATCTGAGCATGAACAAGCAATGAATTGTTATTTAAGAGTTTGTCCAAAATTTTATTTAGATTTCAAAATGTTTGAATGCTTTTAGGTTCCATGAAACTGTAACTATCTTATGTATATTGGACTAGAATATTCATATGCAAATAACATAAAGTTGGCGCAAGATTTTCTTAAAGATGCAGCAGATGTAGCCGGTGATAGTGCCTTGGTCTTACATGAGCAAGGATGTATATATTACATGAAAAAGGATTGGATTAGTAAAGATTTTTGTGTTAATACTTTATTTTGAACGCTTATTGATCTTTCTGATTATGTTAAAAGTTTTATCATCCACCCATATTTTTTTATTTAGATGCGAATGCGTCATTTTCAAAAGCCTTGCGACTTGCATATAATGAAACAAATGAGAATATTTCTCTTGTTGATTTAATTTCTCGGCCTCTTAGTGATTTTTGGGAGCCTTTGATCAATAATCTTGGCCATGTTAAAAGGAAACTTGGATATTTTAGTGAAGCAGTAAAATTTCATCAGTAAGTTTTTACACCAAATTTTAATTTTAACATCCCGATTATTTTAATTAGATACAAATTTTGGATTCATTTTGTTCTTTCGAAAAAGAATCGCTTTCTCTTGCATATATTATTGTTGTGTTTTTCAGCTAACCGTTACCGTTTTCACTTCATTTTTTTCTAGAAAATCATTGCTAATGTGCCCGAGAAGATCTGGGGCATTGAGTGCTTTAGCTTTTTCTTTAGCTTGTGAAGGCGAACTGGAATTGGCGATTCAATACTTTCATGAAGCTCTCGTAGTAAATCCTGAAAATCAGGTATTACTAAATTTATTGACGTTTCTTATTTAATTTTAATAAATATCAGGTATATTTAGTTTCATTTTTTAGTTTATGAAAGAATGTATTGAAAAAATTTTGGATTGGATGGAAGAAAATACACCACTGAAAAATTACGGAGAATTTCTTCCAGCGGTTTGTAACTTTTTAAGTCAAATTTTAGTGACATTTCATTCATAACAGTTCATTAGTCAGATAAGGTTATTTACGAATAAAGATTATTTTAGAATGTTTTTAAAACTACGAATTTATTTTCAGACTAGAAATGAACCAATGGCACCTATTCAGGAATCTGACTTTGAGCTAACTGAGCAAGAAAAAAATGCTCAAATACTCGCTCTTGAGACATTACGAAGAAAAACACGAAGAAGGCTTAATCGTTCAGATTTAAGGTATAGTTAATTTTTAATTTTTTAATTTTTAATTTTTTTTTAATTTTTTGAACATATCATTATTGGTTAAATAGCAAATTGAGGATTTCTTTAGAAGATTTTGATTTGATGTCTGTTGTTAGTTTTGATTTTTCTATTTGTAGATATTGTTCTTTTTATAATCTAGGCATAATCTAAGCGAACAAATGCAAATGCATAGTTCAGCTATGGATATATCTATGGATACATCTACTCCATGAAACCCAAATTTTTTGCTGTACTTTTCATCAGTTTTTTTGACTGAATCATGTCCAGTTCGATGATAACTTATTGTACTATTAATACTGTGCCATTAATCGCCAAAGTTTGTATTATTTTATTTTAAAAGTGTTGCACTTTTATAAAATTAAATTTGTCGATCAAAATCGTCTGTGTTCATTTTGAAAAATTTCTTTCTTTTTGTTTAGTAGTTTTGTAACTCAGTTAATTTGTTTAATTTCGCATTTTTAATTTTTGATTAGTTTTATATAATTTTATGAAATATTTTTCGAAATATTGTTGTCTTTTAGATTTTGGATATATTTTTTTTTATATTTGGAGTCTCAGTGGGTTTCAGTTGCGTTTATTTGGTTACAGTGGGATATTTATATTTTTATTTTATCTTGCTTGTTTTATTTTATCTATTCATCATAATTTGCCCAGACTATCAGAACATGTTAATTTTATGAAATTTACCTAATTATATCCATATTTTAAAAAAATTTGAATAAAAATTCGTAGTATGAATTCGTAGTATTCGTAGAAGGTAAATTGATCACTTTGCAAAATACCTGAAAATGTGGAATGAATATGCCCGACTTTAAATACCTTGAATCCATTCTTCTTAGAAGTACATTCACTATTTCTGGTTCGGTTCCACTGATAACCTCTCCGGAAAACCATATAAAGGCAAAATCACAATGGTTGTGCATAACATCTGATTGATATCGCTATTTTGATTACTTTTAAGCAGAAATATGAAGGAAATTAACGAAGAATTGCCCTTTGAGGATAAAATTTGCATGGTCATTTATCGTTTATGTTCCATTCATTTATCATTAACGATGACACTTATCAAAAAAAGAACACAATTGTTTCATTAATCTTGTAGCATGGGTTTTTATCATATTTATATATTTGCATTATATATTTGCTATGTTAAAATTTGTGCATTTTCTCATTTATCTGTGATTATAATTGGTTTAAGGTTAAGTGATTTCATTCCCATTTTAGTAATTTTAAATTTTATTTGAAAAATAAAAAACGCTTGGTAAAAATCAGATCGAAGTTTCGTGTTTCTTTCTATTTGTCCAGTAAAACTGTCAATTATCGTAAAAATATCTCCAAGATAAAAAATATTTTTATATTGGCAATACGAATAACGTATGCGAAATACTTTCGAGCTCTAAAAAAAAGCCGAAAAGTTTGATGGATTATCGAGTAGAAGATTTTAGAGATAATGATGCTTTGTCAAAATTCGACAAATATCAAATTCACATGAAATTTACGTTATCAAAATGGGATAAAAATTGAATTAATTCATTTCAAATATCAGCAGATTTGATTTTTATCATTTTTTTTAATCACTTTTTGTTATCAATAATAATGTTATTCATTTGCTATTGTTGAACAGTTAACTTACGATGAATCGGATTTGTCTTTTCACAAATTCTTATTTTTATGTGATAAATTATGTTTTAAAAAATGGTTTTTTTAAAGTAATTTTGATCGAACCAATAAATATAAGAATTCTTAGGAGAAAATTTTTCTGGAGAAATAGTGCTTTTTTAATTCTAATTTAAATGAATATAATCCCTCATTTCCAATGCTAACAAAATAATATTTACGATGATGAATGTAGCTTAGAGCGCTAAGTCGAGAAAGAAAGAGATGAAATTGGTGTTAAAAAAAGGAACACCTGAAGAACACGGCACGTTATTGTTGACACGCGCTGGATAATTAAAAAGGTTAACAGAAAGAATCTCGAAACTTTTGGTTGCTCTCCCTCATTTAGAATCTTAAATTTACTATATAAACTTATATACAGGTCAGACAAAACAGACTGGATTCAACTGGATTATATGCCAAGGAATCCTTCGGTGAGTCGCCAGAATTACCCGGATTTTTGGACACCGGCCGGGATTAGAACCTCAGCATCGGTACTCCGAGTTCAGTAATGACGTTCTGAACTCCCATCCTACTCCCATGTGAAGCTCACTCCATAAGTAATGACGCTTTATACAACCTTTATATGGAATATGTACTAAGAGAAAATCACCAAGGGTTGAGAAGACACATTAACGCATTAACCCGCGCCATACATTATTCCAGTGGCAAAGGAGCCTTTCTCCAAGCCTTTATTTTAAAAGTCAAAAAAGAGAATAAATAACAACAGATAGAATAAGCTTTAGAATTGATATACGTTCAGATAGTCGGTAGCTTCTGCTTTTTTGATCGAGCCATCATCAATAGAAATATAGACAGTCAAGAATTCGCATCCATGAAGGCCTTGGAAAAGATATTTTTAAATACCATGATGCAAATTATGCAATGTGTCCTGTAATTCTTCATGGATGCGAGAAGTCGGATTTTAACGCAGCAGAACATGGAGGATATTGACACTTTTGAAGCTTGGCGAAGACAATTGATAATATCGTGAATAGCTAGGAAAACCAGCCGATGAAATCAAGCCAGAGTTCCCACTCGAGGCACAAATGACCGCGCTTAAAATTCCGCTTTGATCATATGCGATGATTTAACTTTCTGGAAAATATCTATTATACATAAAGAAAAGAGGAGAGGACGACCTGCTACGAGGCAGATAAATTCAATTCCAGAGGCGATCTGCGTACCGCTTGTACTCTTAAAAGGCCAAGCTGGGGACAAATTATCTTGGAGATCATCTGTATGTATGGTTCCCTAGGAATCGAAAACTATTTGCTCTCACATTAACGAAAATCCTAGTAATTGTAATTAATTTCCATTGAATCGTAAGTTTTTTGCGATTAAAGAATAATAATAATGTATATCTCGAATGGTGGAAAATTTATAAACATCAGATTCATCGAATTTTGGAAGAAATAAGAGACTGGAATCGTTAAAAATATCTTTCCAAGAACGAAAGGACGAAGAAAGAACAAAAGAATTGGGAAAATTTATCATATTTGAGCATCCTATTAAACAATTTTCACTCCAATCGAACCCTAAACTTAGCTTAAAGTCCGCTCCTTATGGTAATTTTGGTGCGATTAAGCTAAGGAGTGAGCCTCATCGGATGTGATGGATAGATTGACTCAGTGGTTGTTGCTCATTCGGAGCACCGATGCTGAGGTTCTATTCCCAGCAGGAGTGGATCTGTCTAAAAATCCGTGCGATGCTGGCCACTCACATGCATTTCTATCGACTATAGAAATGGTAATGAGCATTTTTCTATTGACTTGGCTCATTGTTTTAATTATTGCGATAATATTTTCGTATATTTCACGTTAATACTTTTATGTGAAATCCATCGTCATCGTTTCTCTACGAGTTGAGAATTTGCTTTTGTTAATAATTTTACTTCATGCGTAAAAATTATTAGATGAATCGCGATTATTGAGCGGCATTTGACCTTTAATGCGACCCCGTAATGCATTTGCTGCGAATTTTATTGTAATTTTCAATTAGTGATTTAAGTATTAAATTAGATGATGAGAATTATTTGGATTTTCTATGGAGTATTTAACTAATAAAACACTGAAAAAGTCAACGTCGGCTGATGAAAGAAATGTTATCACATTGTAAGAAACTGAATCGGCTGATTCAGACGGAATTATTAGATAACGGAATAACTGATTCGAAGAAATCTCCGGATTTCGGCCGATGGAATCCGATTTATTAGAAATGTTTTGAAGAAATCTCCGGGTTTCGGCCGATGGAATCCGATTTATTAGAAATGTTTTGAAGAAATCTCCGGATTTCGGCCGATGGAATCCGATTTATTAGAAATGTTTTGAAGAAATCTCCGGATTTCGGCCGATGGAATCCGATTTATTAGAAATGTTTTGAAGAAATCTCTGGATTTCTGGCTAAGTCAACAAATAAATAACAAATTATCGAAATAGTCAGAATTAGATGATAGGGATAAAATAATAAAATAATATGGAAAGAAAATTGGATCAACAAAATTGAAAAAATGCCGTTGAAATAAATGAGAAATTGCAAAATTGTTTATAAAATCTTCAAATAATTTTCCGTCAAGTTTTCCACCAATTGGTTAATTTTCAATCCAATAATTCAAAATCTCAGTATTACAATTTTCTCTCGAATACCTATATTGGGTCAATATCCAAGAATCCGGGAATGAGACCAAAGCAGAAATGGTGAGCAGGAAGGTTTTTTCCGCTTACGCTGCTCTCTGAAATTTCCAATTTGGACAAAGAAAAAAAATTAGCTTAGCGAAAAAAATTTATTTATGGAACCTGGAATAACTGACCGTGGAATGCATTTTTTTCACATTTTACCTCTAATAAGTGGTTAGTGTCATCACTTCTATTTAGGCTCGATCCACTGGCTATTTCTAGAGAAAAGCTTGAAATTAGGATTATGCTCTTCCACCATTCTTCTTATTGCAAAGTATTTTGTTATTCGGCAAGAATAATTCAATTAGGTGACAAATTCAGGTGACCAAATGCCATTGTTTGTCCTCTGTAACTCCTGATATTGTACACGAGTAAATGGCACCATGGTTCACGCGAAAATTTTATTAATTAAAATTAATAAAATTAAAATTAAAATTTTATTTTATGAGAATGAATTTTATTATAATGGCATATTTATAGTCTATATTTTTATGAAATAATACTCTTTCAGTAAAAAGGTATAGCTGGCTGAAAAACGAGTACCTCAACTGCTTGCCATCTCATTTTGGTCGAATCCGATAATTTTTCAGATGGATATAATTTTTTTCTGATTCAACGTCATCTTCCGATTAAACATTCATGATATTCATGTTGATATACTAGTTCTTGAAAATGTGGCACAACATGGCCAAAAATGATTATATTGGAATTTTTTAGCCATATGACCCTATAATTTTCTGGGCGTACTAGCACAAGTGTTAGGTACCAACCGCTTATTCACTTGCTTTTTTTATTTGGATATTTACTAAAATATAAAAAATTTATGGTTTTTACTTATTTTAAATCTATTTCCCTACATCTTCTATTGCTATTAATTTTGCAAAATTTTTCTTTAATTTTTTGCTTATGATTGGTTTCATTTGCATTTCATTATATTTTTCATTTTATTTCACATTGCAAAATTTATCGCCCCGCACGAAAATGAACTTAAGGTCAATCAATCCTATTCTCTCTCTCTCTGTTTACAGTAATATTTACTTTTTTAATTTTATTTTGACCTTTCAAAGAAGTATATAAGTAGTAAGAAGCTTGACTATTGCCAGTGTTGCGAATATGCTTCGGCTTGTGAGGTCGTGGCTTTACGATCGTTGATCGTTGCCTTAGTTTGAGACAAATGATAAGATTTTTTCTTTTCTTGTAACTTTCTTCTACTAGTAATAGTTAATAGTTGCTTTATTAAATAGTCTCTTCTTTTCTTTTCTATCTAAGTCTTTCAGTTACGTTAATGTTTCATTAGTGAATTTATTATTAGTGATTATTCTTTTGCAATAGGTGCTTAGGTTGTAAATTTTTCTCGAAGAGCGCTTATCATTTCTGATTTGGTTTATCTGACCAGAGAGCCAAATTTTGCGAGGGAGTCGCTTGGCGATAGAAATGTGGGTTGGTGCGGCCGGATTTTTGAAGGACAGGCTTACTCCTGGCGGGAACACATGCTCTATATGTCACAAAATGCAATAGTTTTGTGCGAGTTTGCGACTCCAATTTTCAAAGTTTTTCACTATAGACCAATTCAATATATGCCAGCAAGAAATTTGATACAAAAGAATGTATCTGACCTTAGTATTTGATAAAAAATAGCGCGAAACATTATATGAATGAAATGGCAATGGGTCATTTAATAAGCCTTTCTTGTTGCTGTTAAGGCTCATACTTTTAGATAATGTTTAACATAATGCTGAGTTATAAGGTCACTCAATTATTCTTCAGTTAACCTTGTTATGCCAAATGCTTCATGGTCACCACTATATAATCGAGAATAGGCCTCTGATAATAACGAAGCATTAGATAATTGCCATTTGCGAGCTGCTTTTGACTTTAACTCTCCTCCATGCTTAGCCGTATTTGTCGTTGTATCAAATTAGAGAGTGAAAATTTGTCTCATAATAACTTTATAAGATTATAAAGCAGAAGTCTTAGAAACATATTAGCTCATATATAAACTGCGGTGACTGATAACGTCTTAGATATCTCTTTATCTCGTTACTCATTGTCCAATGAAATCCATTGTGATAAAATAAATCGTGTAATATTGTTGTCTACATTCTTGTTTGATATCTCGCTTGTATTAACTGAAATTTATTCTTAGCATTTTCTTGTAAAAATTTTATTTTCACCAAATTCTTATTGAGACGGTAAATTTTCTCGATACGATATTGAGATAATAGTTTTTATAAAAATTTAATATTATAATAGTCCTTGATTCGTTTTGTTTCCTTTTTCTTCCATTTGGTTGCCGTTATTCTACGAAAAACGATCAATTCGATATATTTGAATAGATTTAAAATGAATTTCATGGATTTGTTAGAAGTATTAAAGATATTAAAATGAATCGAAGCTTTGACGGAATGAATCCTTTTGGAAAATAGCATCTTTTAATTGTTTTCGTTTTTTAATATGATAATTCCTATGATAATTTTGATAACAAAGAATGATAATAGTTTTTTACAGAATGTTTACCTTTTGTGTAGGTTTGTTCCATAATTGAATTTCTAAGAAGTTGGGGAGTTATGGAAATCAAGGACATCTTTTGATTTCCTTTCTTTTCTTGAGCTTAGCTTATAGTGAAAAAAGGTTGGTGCGGATAATTTCACCGATAAGTATAATTAAATTGTATGGATTACAATTATTTCCTATTAACTTCCATGGATTTATATTTAAAAGGAAGCGAAAATAGCGCAAGGAATTTGTATAATCGTTGAATTTCATTTTTGTTTCTGCCACGTTAGTTTCTCCAATCGGTTTCATCATTCACTACAAACGAATTCTATTTTTAACGTTCGCTCATTTCGATTATAATAAGTGAGTGTTTACGTATTTCAGTGGATTTCAGTGCATTTCGAGTGTTGTGACGAGAATTGTAGAGAAACAATGGCGAGAAATAATACAGTTTCACGCGAAGAACAACAGGTGATAATAAGGCGCGAGCAATTGGAAGGCGATTCAGTAAGGGTTGAATTTTTTAGAAATTCCTAAACTATTTTGACGCGAAATACCAGACTTGAATGGTTTTTTCACGATTAAAATGAGTGGTTGCAAAAAATTTTATTTATGCCATTTTAACGATATGTGTCTGGTTTGATTGACTTAGTGACAGCTGGAACGAAATCCTTTAAAGGATCCTTTAAAGAGTCCTGAGGTTCAGACGGATTCCTAGCACCTCGCTATGATATATTTGATTTTATCTATTAGTTAGAAAATTCTGTTTACTACATTCATTTTTAGGATTTATCGTCAGAGCAGGATCAGCAGCTTTCTTTGATAAATCTTGTGCAAGATATTTCATTGCAAGAGGAAAGTAGAGCGACCGAGCAAGCCGAGCCGATTGAAAGTGAGGGTGATTCACCGCAAGGATCAAATGAACATAGAACGCCCGAACGATCAAACGATCCGAATGCTGAGGATGACCAAATGAAGTGGTCTAATTTGCGAACACCGCCACCCAGTTCACGCGATCATCCATTTTTAATTAACATCACTTGGGCACCAAAAAGGCTAAAAGTCTATCGCAAAAAAGGAGAAACACCGGAATTAATAACATGAAGCTTATGTGTTCACAGCAAATTTTCGAATTTTCAGTTAATTGTAGTGTAAAGTGAATTTGGTATTAAAATCAAAAAATTTATGCTCCACATTACAAATTTTAGAAAATATTCGCTTAATTTTGATTTTTCACATGTTTTGCTAAAATGTTTTTATTAATAAAGACTATCCTTGAGTAATAAGTCGTTTTCACTGGGATGATTTTGTCGTGAGGTCTGGGATATACGACTGGAAAGTAAAGAGGAGGCTGTGTCATTGATGATGAAAGAAGAGGATGATAGATCCACGAAAAGAAGTGGCGAAATATTTTGCTAGAACCATGAGTTTTGCCAAAGGTGAAGAGCGAATCGTTGATCGGATACAAAATTCCAAGCCAAGTTAAAATAGTTGGTCAATCATTTCAAGTATCCAGGGAAACTGGGTTCGGTCCCACCCTCAAATGGTACCATAGTATTATTTCGCCACACTAACACTGATCGTTTTAAGAACTGACTTTAAAAGTAGGATGAATTTCGCCATTGCGTCGACTTAAAGGATTCAACTCTATTTGGCTCTATTGGGCTGATTTCATTCATCTGGACCGTGTAAATATGGAGTCCTACCAAACATTTCGTTCAGGCTTATCACACCATTCCGATTAGATACCGCCATTTCGATTACGTGTGAAGGAAATTAACAAAGAGTTGACCTTTCAGGATAAGAATTGCATTGAAGAAGGTCACTTATCGCTAATTCCACATTTATTTATTGTTAAACGTTGATGATGACATTAAGATAATGCTATCAAAATACGAACACAATTGTTTCATTACTCCTGTAACAAATTTTTATCAAATATTTACTTAATGCAACTTCATTAAAAACGATTCGTTTATTACTAACATTTCTTGTGTTTTCATTTTAAATGACTTTATTTCATTTAAGTAATATTGCATTTAATTTGAAAATATGGAAAAAAATATGAAAATGATTTACTTGCTTATAGTTACGTCGATTTTGCATATTTATCATTTACTTTGGTCTGCTGAAATGTTTCTAAGCAGATTTAAGTGAAACTATCGAATGGTGATAAGTAAAATCGAAATTTATCAACGAGAAAATTCAGAAATCAAAAGGCTTATCAGATGGAAGTTTCGCCAAAATTAAACAAAAGGGATCAAAAAACTGAATGCAAAAATCTCAAAATTATATGATAATTGTATGAAGCGCTATGAATGATAAATTATCGGCAATATGATAATAGATTCTAACTCTAATGAATTTTATCATATGTTTGCTGCTGCTTCGTTTAAAAATTATCATCTAATCACTTATTATTTTCGATTAGTTTGGCCTGAATTAAATCATTCCGCGATATAGTCGCTTGGATATATTTACTAATTTACCATGAAACGTTTAAGGAATTCTCTTAAAGAAATTATAATCAGAACACTTAGTCGAAGCAAAATAGCATTCGACCATCTCTAACAAAATAGTATTTTATTTCTTCGATAAAAATTTTTTCTTATTCTTTTCTCACTACATATAGAAGAAAATTTGAAGGATTTGAGGAACACAGTTTTCGCCGTTTACATAAAAGTGATTGCATTCCACGTTGAGTGAAGTCGATTAGTGATACTGTGATAAATTTCTAATTTTTCTCTAACAAATTGCGGTACTTAAAAAATTATTTCGTAATTTTTATAATAATATTTTATAATATTTTACAGAAGTAATTTTTATAATATTTCTTTTTCTAATATTAATCGATTAACCAACAAAATCTCATACGATATACGTACTACGTAAGGAGAAATTTTCGCATATATATTGCATTTGTGATTAATTCCTTTTTAGTTGTATAATTAATGAAAATCCTCTAAGTATAATTAATTCCCCTTAAATCTTAAGTTTATTACTTTTTTATGGCTCATTTATTGTGAGTCGTCAATTAGCCAAGATAATACACGTCTGAGCGAACTGAGGATTTTATGTTGGTTTTCCGAGATCTATAAATATTATTCATTAATCAAGTCGGAAGAAAGGTTTAAGCGATTAGAAGAAGTTGAAATTCGAAGTTTCGAGAATTCCAAAAAAGTGAAAGGGCGAATTTTGAGGAACTTCGTTTTGTATCCGAGATTTGGTTCCATTTTTTCACCATTCCGTTGTATATGATCTTTGCTATCCATTTTATTTGAAGGCTTTTCTCTATTACCGCTAGCAAATTTCAATTTTTATGTTTTTTGGCCTAATTTATTTAATTTCTTGGTTAAAATTATCCAATTAATTAGTACTTTATAATTGTTCAATTCATAAGTGATTTTCGTTATAATACGAAATTTTTGCCAAATTTTTTTGGCGATAGCAATGTTTTTCAGCAAAAAATTTATGCAAAAAGAGATATTTGGCTTTATCTTTAGACTTTTGATTTTTTCATAAAATGGTGTGAAAAATGCAGTGAAATGGAGAAATGGGTTATTGTAATGAATATTGGTTTCGGTTGATTTAGCTCATCCTTTTATAGTTAATAAGATCATTCATTGTTCATTCTGAATTAACATTGTTAGCTAAAGGGAATCCTTCATTATAATTCCTTTGTAACTCATTTTAATTCCTTTAATTTTTATAAATGCGCTTACATCTACTAATAATTATATTAACGGTAACTTAAATGAAAATTATTAGATAATTACGATTATTGAGCAGTTAGCGCTGCCTCGTAATGCATTTTCTACGAATCTTGTGACTTTGTATTATTAGTAAATATTAAATTAGATAATGGAAATTATAAAAGTTATATAGGTTATTAGAAATCTTTCAGGTATATAAGCTTAATTGTGATAACTGATAACGCCTTGGATACCACTTTATGTAATACAGTGTTATTAATATTAATAATATGTTATATTAATCCAGTGTTATCCATTATCTTATATGATATGATATGTGATATATTAGCTGAAGTTTGTTCTTTTCATTTCTTCATAGTTATAGAGAAAATTTATATTCTATTTAGCAAAATTTCACTCGGAAATAGTCGTTGTTGTAAATTAGTTACGATGGATTTCCATTATATTTTATTCGCTTCTCGTCTCTTATCTCTTCCATTTAATTATTAACATTGATAATATAAAGAAAGCGATTTGTTTAGCTTATCGAATAAAAATGTTAAATAAATTAAATTTTACTTATTTTAATTATGATTATTTTAATATACTTAAGGGTGCGGCAAATGGTTCAATATTTGGACTGTTATTTTCATCGACTTGTACTTTATTAAATTTAAGCAAAAATTTTTATTACGTTAACAGACAACATTAGTTATTTACAAACGATTCTTCAAACATTCGAATTTATCGGCAATCTTTTTCTTCAAATAGTTCTTGCCATTACTGGTTAAGCTAGTTCCATTAGCTACCTCCAAGGTACTCGGTCTGATACTGATACCATCGCTGATAGTTATAAAAGCCATCCCTTTTCCACCTTCTAAGGCCACTGGCCTACATATTCAGAACCTTTTCTGACTGTATTAGTCCATGTCCATGTCCTTGGGCTTAGCAAATATATGTCCTACAGTAAACGACGAAGAATATGCCCCAGTCAAATTAATAAAAATGGTATTTGAACGAAGATAAATGCAATCATATCAAATTTTATCCACTCAGCGAACCTGTTTAAAACGTGAATGATCAAAGCCAGATAATTTCTAATATCCTTCTCTCTCATTGGCCATGCCTTTCAGCCATATAGCAGGATTGCAGCTATATGAATGCTGACTTTCGTTTTTATGGTTCCACAAAGGCTCTGTGAAGCGGAAGAAGGCATTTCTAGCTGCCGACTCCATATATTTTTCATATATCTTATGTGTAATTTATAAATAAAGCTAAAAATTGCGTTGCTAAAGGATGTAAAAGAAGGAAAAAAAAGAGTAAAATGGGAAATTTAAAGATCGAATATTTCTTCAAAATTGCATAGGAAAACAAATGACCAAATTTTTACCCAACGCCTCATATAGTACTTTCCCGATACCAATTAATCGATCGTTATTTAGTCTGAGCAAAATGGTTCATTAAGGACTTTTTCCCGATACCAATTAATCGATCGTTATTTAGTCTGAGCAAAATGGTTCATTAAGGACTTATGAATCTATGGATAAAAAATAAAAAACCATAGTTATCATTTTTTCCATAACATTCGTTATCTTATAAATCGAACAGTATTTAGCTTTGAATTCCAGCACATTTAAACTTTCATATTTGTTAACGAACTTTAAGAAATTTTCCTACACGAAAATGCAAGTCAGCTCTACCGCAACGTCGTTTATCTTATAAAAAGTTTACCGACTTTACTATAAAGGGAACGGTTATGCTCTTTTAATATTTTCTTTTATCTACTTTTAATATTTTAATATTTATTATTAAAAATATGTTTTATTATAATATTTGTGATAAAATATTTCCTAGAGATTTTTGTAATCAACAAAACGTTTTTTGCAAATAATCTTCAGTTTTGGTTGTTTATCAAAATCGGCAATTTTTGTGAAATATCACTGTGCCAGGATTAGTTTTTAAGTGACACCTTCATCTGCAATACATAACTGCTAAGAAAAATAGTTTGGAAGTAGTGTCTGAAGGAATATGAGCGAGCCATATTAGCCTTAACTCTCATATTGGCACTCTTTACCTATTTACTCGTGAAAGAGCTGAGCTTTACTTTAGCTCGGGTGCAAGATACGTGAAACAATCGAGCGTACTGTAGTATGCAAATGATTATTCCATCTATAATGTCGATATATTTTAATTTGCAGTGTATATGCAGTGTATTTTTCCAAGACTCAATACTTATTAGACCTATTTCAGCAGTTTTCTGTGCAAAATTACGCGATTTTATAAAATTTCCATGAAAATTTCTCCCAAAGCTTTGTACTCTGTCGAGCATTGCAAAATACAATGATGGTGAAACTGCAAATGTCATAAATGCCATAAAACAGAATATTCACCTCACAGCGAATATTAATCTTTTCGTTTCTAAAACTTACGACTTTAGACGAATGAAATCATCGCTAACCAAAAAGCATTCATCAGTTAATATTTTAAAATTTTCGCTGAAATATTTATTAGTTTTCATTTCACAAATAAAGAAAAAAAAACATGAAGAAAAATAATTTTCACTATTTTCTCTTAGATTCGTAAATTTCTCATAGATAAGAGAAAATAGAATCGAGCGAATATCGCTTTCTTAGTGCATAATTTCCAGCATTATCTTCCAAGATATGATTCCTTAAATTTATTTCTGAAATTTTCTGCAGAAAATTTCTGAAATATTAAAAATTTTAATAAAGTTTCGGCATTCATAAATAAATAAATATGTAAGTTTCTGAAAGTTTTCAGAAGAGATTCATTGGAATTCTCCATGCAAAATTCAAAACGAGCGCATAGAGCATTTTATTTTTTTTATGAGAACGACAATAGAGGAGAGCAGAAAATATTAATTTATTTAGATAATATTAATTTTATTTAATTCTTTTAGAATCGAGCGATAATTAAAATATAAAGCATAGAAATATTTATAATTTCCCAAAATTTTCGAGTAGAGCAATTTTGTTTGACTCATCGACATAAGTTACACGTTTTTCGGCATTGTTGAGACATTGCTGCAGAATATGCTGGAGAATATGAATATTGCAGAATTGCAAAATGATGCCATTTGCGCGCAATTGGCTCGGCTTTTAGAGCAAACAGATGCACCTATTGCTGCTGTTGTTGTTAAAAGTAAGATTGACAATTAATTTTCCAAATTTGATAGAAATTGTGCGCGAAAGAAATTATCACTAATTAAATCCCTTTTCCAAAATAATAATTAATAATATAATAAAATGTGATAAAATAATTAATAATAAATAAAATAATAAGCAAATGCGCGACCAAAACAAAAGGCACTTTCCTGGAGCTCTTTTAAATTCTGTACATATAACCATTGCTGACAAAATTATTTGCTCTATTTTTCTGCAAACAATCTCTCATTTTTAATCAATTCGCTTTAATTTTTGTAAGAAAAAAGCTAAAGAGGTGTTCAAATTTCATAAAAAATTTTCCGCAAAAACCACAAATACTTCTAGTGATTTCTCGCTTTTTAGATTTCAAACTACAAAAAAGTTTTTTATAATTATTTTAATATAATCATTTAGTATTTTGCTTATGGAATGTTAAGAGCCGAAAAAAACAATGTTCCCACAAAAAACAATGTTCGATACAAACATACATAAACAAGTTGCAAGCTCCCATGTAATTCTGCATCATGAATGCATTACTACAATTTAGGCCAGTAGTCGATAATTGTGCACAATTCACCTATATCTGGACACTGGCGCAGGTTTATTGCATAGTTCGCAGGTTTTAGGGAATCCTGCTAAAGTCGCTGCGGCTGCGTTTGGGTTCGTGCATAAATCTGGTGCCGCCGTAAATGTACCGATATTACCAGCCAGCTGAAATGCAAATCGTGTTTGTATGCTGACAAAGTTGTTTGGTGTATTTACTTATTTTCACTTAATTTCCTGAAGAAATCGTCTTCTCATTAAGTAGGTTTGTACAATAAGAAACATACAATTTCGGCGACTAAATTCAGGTGTTAAGCAACAAATTGCACATGAGGACGGACGCAAAGCTTCAGCAGCTGTAAGAACAGTCGCGTTTTGGCAGTTGGGATTGACCAAAAACGCATTTCCTCTGCAATAGATTTTTTATTACTATAAAAGCAAATCGAATAAAGAAGCATATAGGATGCCGGAAAGAATAAGGAAACAAAACGTACGCAACTGCATTATCTACAGCGACCGATCGGACGGCAAAAATGGCATTGCAAATAGTTGGATCTTTGTCCTTGCAAGCTGTTGGAAGCGGCAATAGACGAGGAATGACAGGAACAACATTTGAAGGAGCAAGGCACTTAGTTAGCGGGACGCCATCCCCCGACTCACCTCCGCGCATAAATATAAGGGCTAAGGCACTAAGAGGACGCACATCACCGATTGGCATGACTGCCCGTAGTCCAGCTTTTTATACGCCATCCAAAAAAAGATATAAAGTATTTTCACCTGTTGATAATGAATCGTTAACTCTTACAGTCGTATTTTTCCATTCTGTCATACTATATTCATAAATTACCGATATGCGAATGTTTTTATTAAATCGACTATAGAAATAGACGATTTCTTTCGATACAATAATCGGATTAATTTTTAGGTTTTTCTTCAACGATGGATTTTTTTTAAAAGCATCATATTGCTTTCAGTGATTTTTCCTCTAATAATTTTCAGCAAAGCAGTGCAATCTGTTATTCTAAATTTTAATGGCAGTGAAACTGCTTAAGATGATCGTTTGCAGGTATTGTTCATTAGCCTTCATGGTTTTTTTTTATTATTCTGATCTGTTAAGATGATTATTAATTGGCTGGACAAATATAAAAATAATTTGCTGAGATGGACATTTCTGGGAACATTTTACCGCAGTCTTGCAGTTCTTGCCGTTCAGAACATGCTGGAAGAAGTAGGTAGGAACCTGAGCTTAAAGCAAGTGTTCCGAGAACCATTTTAAATACTGCAAACATTTTTTTCATTAATACCGTTCGGATAACAGACCATGCAGCAAGACGGGACATTTGTGTTTCATTTCAGGATAAGATAATGTGTAAAAGTGAAATTAAGCGATTTTTCAAGGTTTGGCTTATGTCGGAACTGAGACCTGTAACATTCAGCTAAGAATTTGATTATAATTATCATTTGCATATTATCATATTTAAATGCAAGTCAGAGTAGCGCATCGCTGTTTTTCTCTGCTTTATATTAGTCTTCCTAACCATTCATAGATCCGTTCCTATGTCGTATAGCTAAATGCAATATAAAATCCAACTTATTTCGCTGGGGTATGAAATGCTTTTATCCTTCTAATGGATCCTTTTTGAGATCATGGAGATCGTAATAGTGTTGAAAACGTATCTATTTAGCTACTTTTCATCGTTAATATTGAATACAGTGATATTTTTGGATGGTTTTATGCTTCTCGCATGAAACTTAGCACAAAAATCGCAAGCGTTTTTTTAAACGATGCTTGCTTTTTATTTTTTTCCAAATTTAGATAGTAGCTATTTTTTTAAAAAAAAGGATTGTAGAGGAAATTTAATCTCTGATTCCGTTATATCTGATTGCCCATGGAAAATGGGTTTTCGTGATAAATAAAACTTCCTGAAAAACTGTTTAGAAATTTAATATAAAAATAATTTAAACTTTTATATTAAATCCGCTTGCAAATTTCTATATGAATTTAAAAACAACGTTGATATTTTTCATATTTTCCCTATCGAATTTGTCCGTTCGGATAACCATTTGCTAATTGCTAGAACTATTGTTGCCAGGTGGACTTGATAATCAAGAAGTTTTGACGTGATTTCTTGGGGGAAAACATTTCTAATGCTTTTAAAAAAAGGAGATTTATTGAAATTTTGCATATAATTTTGCACAACTACATATATATTATGCATTTCAGGAAGTGAAATAAAATAGTGAAAGTAAAATTTAGTTTTAAAATCAGATAAAATCGCATAAAAAAATAACATTATTAATGATAATGGCAAAGAATCAAACTATTACAATTTCCTTTGGGTTTTCCATCTTCCATAAAATATCCCATTTGACCATATCATTAGGAGTAATGAAGCGGAAATAATAGATTTTGATAAGAATCAAAATTCGATAATGAATATCAGATTTAACAATGAATTGGACCAAGGCCTGTGCAGATTGCAACTGTATTGCTTTAACCTAGACTATTATCATTGCCATTAGTTCTATTATCTTCACTAGGAAGATAATTACAATTGCAAAAAAAAATATCTCAGTTTTGGAAAAATGTTGTAAAATAATGTTTAATTTTGTAGAAATAGGCGCTAAAAGAATAAAATTTCGCAGATCAAAAACGGTTTAACTTGTTGAAATTATACGAGTTGTCTTGAATAAGAATGGTGAGCTATCATTTAGAATTATTGAGATTCGAAAATAAAAGTGGCTCTGAGAGTTCAAATTACTATAAAAAACATTCGAATATATTCGTTGACCACCGGGCGAATTATCATTTTCAGTTTATGGCGTGTGGGCAAACGGTTCAATATTTGGATTTGGATTATAGCGTTCAGCAGACCGTATTTTACTCCATCATAGGAGAAGTATAAAGTTATAAATCTGATGGGCGATCCATCTTATTCTTTTATGATATTAGCTGAAGTCTGTTATCATTTCGTTTTATCCCACTGATCCATAATAATAATCAAAGTTGATTGAATAGACTTCAATAATGAAAGAAGGAAACCAGAAATTTTTTCAGAATCTACCTTCTATAAAAAAGGGACCCTTAGTCAATAATTTTGAAAGATCGCAACTTTGTAGAAAACTAGTCGTTCTTAAGTAATACCATTGTACTTTTTCGAGTTTGGAATAAATATAACCTTCATCGTCCTTAATGGTTCGCACAATTATTAGTTAGGGTTTCCTCTTGTTTTCCGGCCGCAAGAATAAGATATTTTCATTCCGCTCGATCCGATACCATTCTTAGACTAGCTAAAGCCATTCTTTTTTTTAAATAAATCGCTAGGCCGCACAATCCATAGGTATTGGTTCGCCTTTCTAGCTTTTGACTTCGTTAAAAAAGGCTTAGCGAGCAGAAAATAATAATTAATAATTAATATAATTATAATATTATATCCAAAATTATCTAATTTAAGCAACGCTGCAGGTGCGCCTATTTTATTGCACTTTATAAGGAAAGCAGTGGCAATAACGGAGAGAATAAAATAAAATTAATTTTATTAGAAACGAGCGATACAACAATTAAAACCCAAGAAAATATGAAGCATAGGAATATTTATAATTTCCCAAAATTTTCGCTTTCGAATAAAGCTATTTAACTTATTGGCATAAGTTACACGTTCTTCGGCATTGTTGAGCCATTACTGCAGAATATGGTGGAGTATTGCAAAACGATGCCATTTGCGCGCAATTGGTTCGGCTGTCCGAGCAAGCAGACGCACCTGCTGCTGCTGTTGTTGCTAAAAATTGATGGGAACTGTATCACTGTGCGGGAAAGAAAATTGGTCATTAAATTATCACTAACTGAATCCTTTATCCAAAATAAATAAAATATAAAATTAAAAATAAAATAAAAAAGCAAATGCACAATCAAGAAAGAAAGCATTTTCCTTCAACTATTTTGCATTCTATTATAATTATCGTTCACAAAATAATTCTCTTTTCGTGTTATTTTGCTGCAACAATCCTTCTTTTATAATTAGTTGGCTTATCAGAAAAGAGGTGAAGAAAAAACGAATTTTCGATTAGAATTTTACATAATTTAAATGATTTTAAATAATTTTTCTCTATATGCCACTTAAACTATAAATTTATTATATTATATGTATTATATTATTATATTTATTATATTAAAATACTATATTTTGCATTCATTATTTTGCTTATGCAACGATAAGAGTCGAAAAACAATTCCCACAAAAAAACAATGTTCGATAAATGCAAACATACACAAACAAGTCGTTATTCTGCAAGTTCCCATGCAATTCTGCATCATGAATGCATTACTACAATTTATGCCAGTTGTCAATAATTGTCCGCAATTCACGACACCAGTATCTGGACATTGGCCGTTGGCGCCAGGTTTATTGCACAGTCCACATGCTCGAGGACATCCTGCTAATGCTGCTGCAGCAGTATTCGAATTTGTGCATAAATCTGGTGCCAACATAAATGGGTTACAATCAGCAGCGGCTGAAATACGAGAAGTTTGTGGATATCGACAAAGCTTTTAATGATGTTAGATATGATATGTTTATTATTAAGCTTCTATGAAACGGCAAACTGCAGTGGATTAAGCAAGTCCATAGTAAAAAGGAACTTACAATTTTGGCAACTAAATTCAGGTGTTAAACAACAAACTGCACATGAGGAGGGACACAAGGCTTCAGCTGCTGTAAGAACAGTCGCGTTTTGGCAGTTGGGATTGACCAAAAACGCATTTGCTCTGCAATAGACTTCTATTATAAAGGCAAATCGAAAGCATATAGGTTGCTGCAATGAATAAAGGCAAAACCTACGCGACTGAATTAGGTCCTACAGCACCCGATCGGACGGCAAAAATGGCACTGCAAATAGTTGGATCTTTGTCCTTGCAAGCTGATGGAAGCGGCAATGGACGAGCCACGGCGGCACTAGGATCAAGGCATTTAGTTAGCGCAACTCCATCATTTCCCGATTCACCTCTGCGCACAAATATAAGAGCTACTAATAGGACGAACATCACCGATTGGCATGGCTATCCACAATCCGATGTTTTTATATGTCATCCAAAAAAAAGATATGTGTGTAAAATGATGCTACCTTTTGATGATGAATCGCCTACTTTTACCCTACGGTAAACAATGGTTATTCTATTTATATTTTATTTATATTTTAGCCTGTTTATATTTATATTTTTTTATTCATATGATTATCGATGTTTGAATATTTCTTTCGTATTTGGTTAAACCATGGAAATAATTTTTTAAAGCAATAACTGAAATTAATTTCTAAATTTAAGTTTAGTGCCGGTGGGTTTTTTCTCAAATTATTTTTGAAATGAAGCTGAGAAATTTTATAGAAGGAATTTTGTTTTCAGTGATCATTTCTTTAATAATTCTTTAAATGCGAATAATTTCCACCAAAATGGAATAATCTCCATTTGTCTGAAATTTAAAGCAGTGAAATTGCCGAAAGCGCTGATATTTTCAAATATCTTCAGCATCCTTCATTCTTTCTTTTATGGTTGTGGCTTACTGAGATAATTCTCAAAAATGGTGACTGGGCATAAATCATAAATCAGCGAGACTACTGGATATCTCTGGGAAGAATTTGCTGTAGAACTGACTAATGGTAGCAGGCAGAAGCTAAACGAACGGCAGCTCAAAGCAAATGACCTGATGCTTATTCCAGGAACCGTATTAAAATAACATTTGAAGTACCATCATTCCTTCTTTTATTAATATCGTTCCGATGGATGCAGCAATCTATGCATTTTTGTTCCAGTTTATTAGCGTAGCTCATAGTAAAAGAGAAAAGCGATCTTTAGAAATAAAATTTGGCTTATATTAGAAATAGTCCATTTCGCTGCAAAATGCAGAATTGGATTATTACCATCTATTGCAAATAATGGAGAATAAAAAGCCTGAGAATCACTGCTTTCCTGCCTACAGTCTGCAAATGCGACAAGGTTTTTTTCATATCATCTGTTAAAAAAATGTTAAATTAACCATAGCACAATGACCGAGTTTCCTCTATTCAGACTATCCATTTATATATCGTATAATAAAATACGTACAAAAAAATCCATCTTTTGCTCGGTCACGAAATTCTTCTATCCGTCGAATGGACCTTTTATGCGATCGTGGAGATCGAAATATGTTGAAATATCTATTTAGTTACAACTGAATTCTGGCAATATTGCTGCGAAACATAATGGAAGATATCAAAAAACTATCTTTGATTATTTCTGGCTGCATTTAGCGCTCCCACTAATGAATAGAATTTCTTACTCATTATACTTATCTTCGCTCTAAGTTCGGCAATGAAAGGCAAATGGTTCTACCACATTCAGCCAATACAGAATTTGGCCGGAATTTGGCTTTTGGAATACCATGTCTTGTGGCACCAAAGGTCCTGTGGATGTCTCGTGGATAAATATGGCGAGATGCAGTTTAACTATATAAGGATTAAGAGCAATCGAAAAGTGAAGTAGCATCAGTTAATTTAATATATAGCACCGGATTGAACTGCTTAGAAATCTCTTATTCTAACCATATGTAAAAAAAACTGCGGAAATAGTTAGAAGCAAGTAAATGAGTGATAAGCGTTTTATTAATATCGTTCCGATAGTAGATAATGCAGCAATCTGTCGCATTCTCGTTCCATTTTATCATAGTAGAAGAGAAGAGCAATCTTCAGAAATAAGATTTGGCTTACATTGGAAACTATTTTTTAATAATATTTTTTAAAATACTGTTCCTGATATAAAATAGAATATGACGAAAATTTTAAAAAAACTTCTGAAAAATTTAATGCACCTCATATGAAATCTAACATGACAGTTGCAAGCATTTTGCTTATTTGTTACAACAATTTTTAATAATAATGATGGAAGCATTCCAAACTTTTTTTTTACAATCTTATTACAATTATCACCTATTTATCACCAATTTGATTTGGAAGAGTTTTATTTGTTCGATAAAAATATTCTTTTTTTGGAAAACTATACATTTTCTGTGAAAATTTGCTTCATCTGAGTAAACCAGTCGCTAACAAAAATAGTAACAGTTTTCTGTAGTTGTTTGAATATTCATGGATAAGTTTGTTTTACTTCGACTCGCTATGATACAAAATGCTAAATCGGGAAATTAAACATGTTGTCATATTTTTAATACTGTTTAATCAGCAAACAGCACAAGTACTGTAGAGGAAATTTTTTCTCCGATTTTTTAAATATGCGAATTCTTCTGAAGACATTGTTTCTCGCGATGCTAGCAATTTATAACTAATATTTTTCGCAAAAATTAATTGAAATTAATTGAATTTTTGACCGATATGGTTTGTAGCCATTTAGAAAGACAATCCAAATTGCTAAAATTATAAAAATATTATAATAGTAATATTATAAAATTATAATAGTTTTTAAAAAATGCCAAAAATATAAAAATGCAACTATTTAATTTTATAAGAGTTGAATAAAAGAATAAAATTACGCATGGTTTAAGCTGTTCAACTGCTACGAATTGCCTTAATTTATATTAATGAATATTTATTTAAATAATTGAGGTTTAAAAGTATTTAAAACTATTGGAGTTTGAAAAAAAAAGTATCTTTATCTTTAATATTTTCGCACATTTTTCATGAAAATTTATGAAAATTTCATGATATTTTGAATTTCATGAATTTTTATATTTTAAAAGAAATAATAAATGATAAAATATTTAATAGAGCAATAACCTATCACCATAAATATATTCGATTATTCAACAGTCGAAATAATAATTATTTTATAGTTTTTATACAGGTAAGGACAAATGACCAAGTGGCCAAGTGACGCAGCAATTGGACTATTGTTTCAGCAACTCGAACTCTAATTTTGAAATAGGGAATAAAGTTGTCTGTCATTATAAATCTGAATGATGCCCAAGGCTCGCTTATGCTTTCTTCTCTAAGTGGCTCTTTAGCGAAAAAGCCCTATCTATGCTAATTGCCGTAAAGTGGACCATAATGGAAATGATGACTTTTACCCAACTAACTAACAATTTGCTGTGAAATCTACTGGCACTTATATTATTCCTGAATTGCTTCCCTATTGCTGATAAAATTTTCAAAATTATCTTAAATTGTTCAAAATCTCAAAAAATTAAAATTCTTTGGAGTCGCTGATGCAATTCACTACAAATTCTCAGTAGCAACGCTAAGAATAGCAATTTTATTATACTCGCACTTTGGTTTTTGGTTCACCGAAATTTTTTTTTCGAGGTTTTTATTCGCAGCTGAATAAATTCGTGGGCGTCGTGTAAAAATAGCAAAATAATAAACGATTTGCACAAAATGCTTTTTTTATTTTTATCTTTTATTGAAATATAATATGAGGAAAAGTGAATTTATTCGATTTAAACGAAATTCGCTCTTTGCGAGCGAATCTAATTCGTTGACATCTTAAAATTTCTCCAGAAATCCATACTGCAGTAAATTATGGCGAGAAATATAGGTGCACATCTTTGGGTTCTAAGTGAAAAGCGATTAGTGCACATTTGAATATGGGCTTCGCTGGCTGTTTGCATGGTTTGAATGCTTTTTTTTTCAGAAGTTGGAGAATCAAGCAAAGATGATGAATCGCAGCACTTAAACTTTCTAATATATCGAATTCTTTCAACAAGGCAATCTGAGCCAATAAGCACCTTGGGCCTTTCCTGAGCTTTGTCACGATACGTTCAATACGTTAGAACTGCTGCCTTGGACCAATTCAAAGAAAATTCTGCAATATATACTTAAATAACTATCTCAAAGATCGAAATTTGCTAGTGAACTTCAGCTTTTAGCAGCATCTTCTTACTCTCCTCGCTTTCTTATGACCTGGCGCGAGAATATTATGCGTGCAAATAATTTATGGTCTACGATGTATTCACAAATAGGGCACTGGAATCCGGTGCGCCAATGAAGAGCGCCTATTTCGCTTTGCATAGCATTCACATTTTGCTACCAATATAGCATCGGAAAAAGCATTTAGTTAATATTCGAACCAGAATTGCATCTCGCTTGATCAAACGGTGTTGGAAATTATCATAATTGCTTCTACTGCGTCTTTGAAACTGGCACCTAGACTATGCTACGACTCAAGCCGAAAATTTGCAAAAGCACTTCCTCTCTCTCCAATTAAAAAACACTCTGGTTACACTCTCACGCCAAAAGATTTGGGTACAGAAACAAAATAAATTATCGAAAGAATTAAACAACAATATCGACTCTGCAACGAATAAAAGAATAATTAATATTTCTTTTTTTTTCTTCTAACAGCTCTCACCATTGCTGATTAGGCTCCAACAGCTACAAGGGGTAAGACTTACAAGTGGTCTGATGCCATCGTCGACAGTAATAGAAGCCATTCCTTTTTCCATCGTCTAAGTCCATATATTGTTGGTCCACCTATACGTTCAAATCTTTTCTCACCGTATCAGTCCAGGTCTTGACTGGCCCACCTCGCTTTTGATGCCAAATTTTATTTCTACAGTGTAATTCACATTAACTAATATTTTTTTAATTTATTTATGCAAATTTTTTTCAAATTTCGCTTAATTAAATTTAAAACAAATAATTTGAATTTTTTTTCGGCTAATTTAATTGCAAGAAATTTTTTTTTATCAAATACAAATAGCAAATAACGAAATATGCGTCAACTCTTGTGGTGGACGACGGAGAATATGCCCTAACCAGCGAAGGTGATGCTCTATGATAACATTATGCAAGTGGTATTTGAACGAAGGTGGATGCGATCTTGTGAGATTTTATCCACTCGGCGAACCCATAAAATATACCTTAGACAAGAGTGGTCAAAGGCAGATAACTTCTTAATATCCTCCACTCTCATTGGCCATGTCTCAGAACCATATAGTATGGTCGAACGGATCACGGTAATATAGATACTTTCGTTTTTATGGTGATTTCACGACGATTCCACAAAGGTTTCGTCAACCGGAAGAACGCATTTCTAGCTGCCATGATCTGAGCCGTAATATTATCTTTTGCCTCTCCATTTGGTATTAGAGTGGACCCAAGGTATTTGAAATCAGGCACTTCCTCAACCGGCAATGAATTTATAAAAAGAGGCATTTTATCAGCTTCTTGCACATAAGGCGAAAAGACTTTCGTTTTATTTACATTGATCCTGAGTCCGATTCATGTTGCAGTTTCTAAGACGCTATTTAATATTACTTTCATTTCGTTATAACTGTCAGCAAAAAGGACTACATCATCAGCGTATTCAAGATCTGTGATACTATGCTCTGGACTAATTAGGACATCCTCTTGAGTGCCGACAAGCAGTGTCCATTATCCAGTCTATCGCATAGTGGAATATCGTGGGGGAAAGGACGCAATCCTGACGGACACCTATTCTTATTTCGAAGGAATCTGTCAGCTCCCTATATACAAAGATCTGCACCGAAGTGCGCTCATAAAATGCCTTTATGAGTCTAATGATGTTCTCTGGAACACCGCCACCTTCCATCACCCTCCAAAGCGCCGCTCTATCAATTGAATAGGTTGCCGCAAAGTCGATGAATAGTCTGAAACCAGCTTGATTAATACGCATCCTGCTCTTCCGTACTTCCATAAATCTGTTGAGTAAAAATTTTCAGGGAAACAAAAATTTTTGCTGAGACGTCTAACAGGCTGATTCCTCGATAATTGTCGCATTATGTCCTATCACCTTTTTTGAGAATTGAGAGCAAAATTGCTTTGCTCCAATCATCTGGTAATATTTCTTTTTTCCATACTGAAGAATATGTTTGTTGAAGGTGCGTTATGAAGGACGATGGACAACATTTGAAAGGCTCAGCCCGAAGATCATCTTCTCCTGGAGTTTTGTTGGCTTTAAGCTTATGGATAACTGAAATTATTTCTTCTTCTGTTGGAGGCTCGCAATTGCAAACGTATGTTTCGGCAAACGTGTCAGCTATATCAGGGGCAACAGATGGCGCTTCGTGGTTAAGTTTGGCCTCAAAGAATTCTTTCCATCTTATGAGGCGATCCTTAATACTTTTAATTAGTACGCCATTGCTGTCTATTACCATTTCACTGATCGTTCCCCAAGTCATAGTTGCTTCATGGAGAAGGCAGAATAGTTTCCTATTGTCGCTTAATCGAGCCGCCACCTCTATTTGAGGCCATGTCACTCCAATAGAGATTTCTGTCCCGCGTTGTTGCTTTCGGTGCAAATCTTCGAAGCACCTGGTAGTCAGGATCACCTGATATTCGTGCTTTGGCAGCTTTTTCAGACAACTGGACCGTTGTTTCCGATACCCAACTACCGCTTGCCCTAGCGTGGAAGTGGCTGATTTCCTACTACTAGTATGCCCTAGCGTGGAAGTGGCTGATTTTCGAAGAAATTCCTTTAGTTTGCACCAGTATTCATTTGCCGTTCCAGAAAAATCATTGATATTTGTATTGATCATTGAGATGCTTCAATAATTCGGTTTGAAATGCGCTCACTGTCCCCAAATTTTTTAGTTTGAGATAATTGAAGGATCTTGGAGGATGTTGTTTTTTGCGAGTTGTCAATTTTATGCAGATCATGGTTCGAACCATAACATGGTCAGATCCATGAAGATTGCCCGTTTCAGCTCCACTATAGGAACGACTATCTAGTACAGAACTTTTCCAACGGCGATTGACTAAAATATAATCAATCTGGTGCTGGTTGTCCGAGGAGTTCCACGTGATTAGATGTTTTCTATGATGCCGGAAGCAAGTATTGGTAGCAAAAAGTTCATGCTCTTTGGCATAACGAAGAAGACGTTCCCCATTGGCACATCGGTCTCCGATGCCATATTTGCTAATTATTGAGGTCATCGCAGCTGCATTATGACCTACGCGAGCATTCCAGTCTCCCCCGATTATGTCATATTTCGGTAGAGACTTCGTTAGCAGTTAAAATTCCACATAGAACTTGTCTTTATCATGGTCATCTGCCGACAGCATTGGAGCATAGACACTGATTACCGAAATATTGCAGAACTTACCCTTAAAACGGAACAGGCCATACGGTCGTTTACCGGTTTCCACCCAATCAAAGCGAAATGGGCCTCATAACAATCGATAAAAATTCGAAGCATAGTGATATAGCCAGTATCTTTTAAAACTGTTGTGAAATTATTTTAAAATTTTGAAAAATTTCGTCAAATTAATTATTTAAATCGCTAATTGGATGGCAAACCGGTTCGTTGAAATTCTAAAAATTCTTCAATGATCCATTCTTTACCATCTTTCAAAATAAGGTGAACTACATGTATAATTTAAAACTGTATGCATATACATATATATGTCTTTGAATTTCAAGTTAAACAAAAAACTCATTTTTGATTAGACTAGCTATGCTGGCTTGAACGTTTTTGCTAGAAGAATGCCTAGAAGTGAGCTATCAATACTGAAAGATTTTCTAAGGCCAGAAGGTTCTATAATATACTAAGTATTCGCTTTGGCGAGAAGCATGGACTGTTTGCTAACATTATGCTTCGGAAAAGATATTTCGAAACAGATTGATTGCATCTTAATCAATAGCTGTCGGAATTATTTGATAATAATAGCCACTTTTATTACCTCTGATACTGGTGCATTCACGCACCAAAACATGCTAGCTATGGTTCAAACCAAGATCGATAGAAGGAAATATCGGCTTTCTTCCGAAAAAAAAAATATTTAATTTCGATTATCTCAAAATATAAGGCATATTTTTAAAAAATCGGTTACTAGCAATAGTATTTGAAACCAAATTATCGAAATAATTTGGTGAAAAGACATCAAAGACGACACTCGAATGAATGACTACCCATTGATTCTGACTTATATTTCTCCGAAAATGATCAAATCAACATTAGGTATAGCAATCAAAAATGGCTTGGTTTGGTGCACTAAACTGCTGATCGAGAAGGCAGGCCAAAAGATTTTGGCCAAAAATGCATCGGAAAAAAGTTTCAGGCAATATTTGGCTTTTTTTTTTATTTTAGCGCTAGCCACGATTCAATTGTTAGAGGAGAGGTGAGAGAAATGCGCATTCAGTGAATCTACAAGTCGATCCAAGGTATAGTATCGCGAAGCTTAAATACCCTGACAATACTATTTTTTGCTGATAAAAGAAATGTAAGAGGTGATAGTGACTGCAATCGAAGTCATCGCTTTGACTTCTTTTTGTCATTTTTAAATAGTCATTTTTAACTAATCCATGTTCTACCAAACTTGAATTATTATTTAGATTGGAATTATTCATATTTTGCAAATGAATTAGCGAAAATCTATAATTTTTTGAACCAATCGTTTTGAAGGAGAACAAAGAGAGTTGCAGAAAATCAGATCAGATTTTTTTAAAATAGTTCCATTTATATTTGCCGAATTGGTGTCTATTATCGTCTTCTTTCAACGGTGCGCATTAGCGCATTATTAGTTAGATTAAGTCCACTGACCATAAAGATAAAGCGTTTCCATGCGGATCGATCCGATGCCATTCCGGAGAATAGCTGGAGCCACTCATTTCAACCGATCGCTGTGTTTATTACATATCTACTCTCTTCCGATTTTATAGTACAGATTGCTCCTTCTAGCTTTTAGCACCAATTATAAAAGGATTTAGCGAGTAGCGAGATATGCATATATTCTTTCGATCAGTGAGGTAGAAAATGGCCAAACCAGCGAACGACAGTGTCGTAAATGCAAACAACGATGAGCGAAGAAAGGTTAAATCAGATGTAAGATATTATTGAATAAATAAAAATGCCTTTGATAAGGGCGATTAAAAATCGGCAGCTTTATTATATTCATTGGCCATATTTTGCCATATATAACAGGTCGGCACGCATATACACTCGGGTAAATACAGTTGCGAATTGATAATGAATTTACAGCTTTGGTTCCATTTGGTTGATCATGTGAAAAGATGCATTTCTAGCTTCCCAGTTTCCGGGCTTCGCCTTTCGCTTAGCCCTTTGATTTAAAATAGATCTAAGGTATTTGAAATCCTTTCCTCGATCCTTATTTGATAAAAATAAATTGATAAAATTGAATTGATAAAAATAGGTGTTTGATCAGCATCTGGTATCTAAGGCGAAAAAAAGTCTCTCAATTTCATTAACTCTGAAGAGTTGTCGATGCATCGCCTCTTCAGGATCTATTGCATTTCTTCATAATTCAACGAATACTAAGTCAGTAATCATTTAAGGTTTGTGATACTACACTCTGAAGAGACTTGTGCAGATTTTACTCCACTCCACTCAACTTCATAGTTGAATATTATAAAAGCAAACCAGGTAATACTTGTTCTTATTTCAAAAGGACCTATCAGCTCACCATATATGCAGAATTGCGCCGATTTGTGTTGTTAAAACACATTTACAAGCCAAATGATCTTCTTTGGAAATACTATCGCATTTCATCATTCAAACTTTTAATTTACACCCTCGTATTTCGGTCTGAATCCAACTTAATAAGAAAGCATTGCCTTAAGCCTTTTCAGCTCAGAAGAGAAGCAAAAATCTTATCAGAGGTGTCTAATAGGCTTATTCCTCCATAGTAAATGTAGCACGCTCTATTATCTTTCCTGGAGATTGGAAATCGGACTATGAGCCTCGCTCCAGTCATTTTTTTTTTTTAATTCTTCCTTTCAGACCAAAAAGTATATCAGTCGATCACTCATGGAAGATTAACATTTGAAGGTTAGTTAGCTCGAAGATTCTTTTCTTTCAGATTTTTTAGTGGCTTTAAATTTTTGAATAACGGAAATAATTTCTTAATCTATTATCAGCTCGCTTATTTTATATATTTTTATAAAATTAAGAACCTTAAGTTCGACAATATAATCAATTTATAATTGCATCGGATTCACTATAAATTAAAAGAAAAAAGGAATATTTCGTTTACCAATTTTGCACAAATCATTTTTATGCTCTATTTTTCCACACAATGTATTTGCAAGAAAGTTTTTTCGTCGTCATAATATTGTATTTTGGCTTGGAATTTTTATCAGCATAGGCTCGAGATGAAATTTTTTTTCTGATTCTCATAACTCTCGACTTTTATAGACTTATATTTTTCATTTTTATTTCACTGCGTTCTACTTCTTAAATTTTAAATTTTAAAGTACTTGTAGAAAAAAAAGAAAATCTAAAAAAATAGTTGGTTTTGATAGGAAAAAGAGAATTTTTTTAAAGGAAAATTGCCCTATGCATTGTGCTTTTTTCGAAATTTCGAAACTGATTGATGGACCACCGCCGGCATTTTCACGGAGTATTTTATCTTTCTATCTACTTTTCAGATTTTAATATTTTAATAAACGTATAGTCTCTTTTGCAGAACTGTGAAAATCTTTACAGTTTCTGCAAATATTTTTAAATATCATAAAATTTTAACGAAGATTTCTCTCAAAATCAAAAGTAATAAGCGACAAGCCATTATGCTTGAAATTTCAATATAAAAAATGCGTCATCTGAAGGTTCTCAATAGGGATTCATTGCTACATGCAAATCCAACATGCACGCATAAAACAGTTTTATAAGGAAAGCAGTGACAATAACGGAGAACACAAAATAATAATTAATTTTATTAGATAATCGAGAATTTTATTAGAATCGAGCGATACAATAATTAAAAATATAAAAGATCCAAGAAAATATAAAGCACAGAAATATTTATAATTTCCCAAAATTTTCGCTTTCGAATAAAGCTATTTAACTTATTGGCATAAGTTACACGTTCTTCGGCATTGTTGAGCCATTACTGCAGAATATGGTGGAGTATTGCAAAACGATGCCATTTGCGCGCAATTGGTTCGGCTGTCCGAGCAAGCAGA